AGTGGCCAATTTTTACCGTATTTAGACAGATATAAATACATATTTTTGCTGGCACTGACATAGGCCTCAGATCAGTTGAAAAAACTCCACCGCTGCGAGATCGAGATAACGCAACATTATCGTGTGCAAATCCTTATATTTTAGAAACAAGATATTGCGATCATCTTTATGTTTCCACCAGCCTAGAACATGGTCATTCCAAAAGTTCGGAACAACTAGACTACAACCCTGGTCAAATTTAAGCACAAAGACGCACTTTGCTAAATTAACCCATATTCTACCTCTGTTTTTTTATGACATACAAAAGTTTAAAACTTTCTTCTGTAAACGAACCGAGGAACTTTAATTTAATATTATCGCAACATCTAATCAATCTATTAGGGACTGCTCTATAAGGAATTTTATAGTGGTTTACATCTTAGTTCTTAACCCGAGGGGGGTTACTCCAGGGAATTCTTGGTGCGGGGGTTCCGGCCGGTTTTCCAAGTCACGCCTGACCCGCTTTCAGACCAAACACCCGTTTCCACATCTTTTTTCAGACCTAGCCTTTAAAATCCATACCCGTTTTCAGACCTGGCCGGCCTTTAAAAAATTATGTCAACATTAGAGAGATTAAGATTCACGTTTACGACAAACGGCAAACGTGAATCTGTACCACGTGACCAAGTGTTTCCCTTAATTGTCGACAAGTGTTTATTACTTCAACTAAAAAATAAGTAGTTTCACGCCAGTTTTATACTTAAGAACTGTTCTGGACATTTTTTTATCTGCTTATTTTCTATTCGGAGGAATTCTTAACATGAATCTGACGTTTGCCGTTTGGCGTGAACGTGAATCTTAATCTCTCTATTGTCTTTGGCAGTTGACGTAAAAAATTTTGCTTTTTGACGGTTAATGCCATTTTGACCCTCTATTTTACAGGCAAACTGACTGAGAAAATCGTGGATACCCAAGCTTAAATTCATATTCTTCTGGGAATTATATTGCAATTAGAACAGTCACACTGACAGACCTGATTTGAAAAAAAAAAAATCGGTGACCAATTTTAGGTTTCTCGGAAACTACCAACCTACCCCTAACCTAAGCCAATATTTAACAGTCACTCAATTCGGCTTTTGTATCATCTGAAGAATTATGGAGATCGAGGAGGGTGTTATCCGCCGAGGCCGGATAACGGCACCCTCTGAGATCTCCATGAAGTTCAGATGATACGAAAGCCGAATTCAATAATTGTTTTATTATAATAATTCATTCAAAACAATTCCTAGTTTGAAAACAAGCTTAAAGGTGCTTACCTCCCATCGATTTTCAGTTTATCTTCGGCTTCTTCGATAGTGCACGTTAATCAGCAAGTTTAGGAGTTAAAGAGTTGTTCAGCTACGTAAATGTTCTCCAAATAGCAGATGTCCGCACCCTTCGAGTTGTCTTCTAAGAAGAATGACACCCGGATCGCAGGTTAGTTGTCTTCTTACTGTTCTTGCTATGTTTTAAGCCAATAGTTCGCTTACTTCTTCTTAGTGAAACGAGTGAAATGTCCGCCATTTTTGTTGTCACTGCTAAAACAACTCAACCTCGTCCCCCGGACTTCTCGGTTAACGGTTCAATAATCTGCAACTTTGCTGCACTTTTGACGTCATCGGTTCAATATGGCATACAATAGCTGGTTATGGTGAATTATGCCTTGTATTTTAGCCAATCAGAAACTGAGAAATATTTTGAATGAATAATGATAACAATTACTAATTCCACTCTCACTTAATCGGGGCAAAATGATGGCTTACGGAAAGAGTACTTGGACAGTTTCCTGGGGACCTAAATTGGTCTGAAAATTGAGGCCAGGGTTAAGTTAATCACCACACTGCTGTCTTAAGGTGATTAACAATCAGCAAAATCCAGCTCTTTTACAGCTCAAAAGAAATGCAAATGCTCTGAGTCAATAGCCCATGAAGCCGAACGGGCCGAATGGGCTATTGATAATTGTTGATAATTGTTTTAGTAAAATCCAACTAGTTGGTCAAAAATATCGAGAATAAAAATTTATCTAGTTAAAGATAGACTTTAATCCTTTTTGCCGCCAAAACGCCCGCGCTTTTCGCTACTAGTGGGCTATAACATATAGCCTAGTAGTAGCTCAACCAATAAGAACGCAGCATTGATAATAGACCACTAGTTGGATTTTACTAATGTCAATTATTCATATGCTCAGAACACATCTTTCACCAAGGCCTTGAACCCATTGAGTAATATTTTTACATGATAAGCGCAAAAAATTATTAATTTTCACCGTTTTTACCTGATGTCTAATTCTTGATAAAATCCAAGATGGCGACCATGTTTCAGTGGTTACGTCAAAGACCACCAGCAGTGCCACTACCAATAAAATATACCTCATCTTGTAGAGAAGATCAAAGGCTTTCCACTGAAGGCAAAGTCGTTTCGAAAAACCGCAACATATCAAAAATTCAACGGGGGGAGGTTCCATCAACCCCCTCCCCCTCTTGTACCACGATGGGGTTTGACTTTGCGTGTGCGTCCGAGGGTTAATAAAAAATGAACGTGAATCTGTCAAACCCATTTTTCTGATTGAACTAGTCCCCAAATTTCACTGAATCGTACAATCTTCCCCACTTTGGTGACATTCATCTGCAACGGCAATTCGATCCAAAGGAACTAATTATTAATTACCGATTACTGCCAGTTTAGGGCCCGTATATACGGAGAAAAGCTATCCCGGGTAGAAGGGTCACTCGCCTACCCGAGCTACCCTGGGCAAGCTAACGTTTCTTACATTTCTTTACATGGCAGACTATTTATACCAGCAAAAAAAATTGTCTGGGCTAGAAGGGTGACTTCCCTAGCGGGGTCAACCTTTTTCCATATTAACACTTTGTCCCGCCCAGCCGGGTCAACTCGTTCAAGGCGAGACAATCAGAGCATGCGCAAGCGTTGCTGGCTCGGGCAAAGGGGACAACTTTTTTCTCATAATAACTCTCGCTGAAGTTGACTCTACTGGGAGGGTGACCCGGTCTTGCCCGGGACGAATTGTCTCCAAACAAACGGGGCCTTTAGCTACGTGCAAACGGACGCAACAACTCCCAACATTTGCACAACACTCTGGCGTCATTCTTACGCTGCGCTATTGTTGCCGATGGCGTGATCAAGATGTGACATGCTGATTAACGCTGCAACTCCGGAACGCTGGAATACTCACTCTATAGATTTGCTCAATTGTTGTTGTTGTTGTTGTTGTGTGCGGGTTAACAGAACACCGAAAATACGAATCAGAAAGCGCAAAACGGAGAACAGAAAAGAAAACGGTAAACAGGAACGGAAACAGAAAATAAAAATCAGCAAAGTGAAAACTGGGGAAAGCAGGAAACGGCCAACGGGAAGACAACAGAAACAAAATCAGCAAATATCAAAAGAAAACAGACCACAGAAAACCGAAAACTCAAAACGGAAAACGGATAAATGGAACATAGAAATCTAACCCCACCCTTCTCTCACCTTGCACCCTTCACCTTCTTTCTTCTGATATGAATTAATAAACTGGATCACAGCTCGGAACAATGTCTCTTAACCAAAGCTCGGGGACCGACAGCCAGAAATTTTAGTGCCCCGAGCATTCCTTTGTGACAATTCCATTTATTTCGTGACTTTGTATGTTAGAGTGGGATTTCCCATTTTGCCCCAATTTCTGTAAACGAACAAACGAACATTAAAATAATATTATAGAGACATCAAATCAAACTATTAAATGTTTGGATATTATAGAAGGAATTTTATAGTACGTGTTACTCCTTTTAAAACGGTTCTACTTCTCAAAATCAAACTCCAGTCCAGTTCCTTTCAGTTTTGCCAACAATTCCTTATCAAATCTCTCATTCATTTCCGGAGTGAAATAACTTTTCCAACCTCCGACTTCGCCCTTTCGTAACAAAGGCGAACTCTGATTCTCTTCCCTTCTGAAACTGACTTCATTGTCTTTCATTCCCTTAAATGTGCATTGCTCTGCAATACGAGTGATGAGTTCATCTGACAGCGGCTTGTTCAGGAAATTTGCAATCATTCGTACATGGGACGGTAAATCCTAGCAGGAAACAAGTCGTAATGGTGTTCATTACGTGTGTGAGGCCCAGCATACTTATAAAGAAAGAAGTTGGTTATTATTATTATTATTATTATTATTATTATTATTATTATCTGACCTTGATCAACAAAATGAGTACAAATTACAGATGTGTGAAATTTGTAAGTCTCTCCATGAGCTCCCTTGGCGTTTTCTCCGATGAATGCTCCACGTTCTTAGACATGATGAATGACATTGGCATTGACAAAAAGCAGCAACTTTATATAATCAAGAAAATAATAAATATAGCCACTAGAGAAACATATTACATCTTTTGTTGTAGAAATAGGAATTGGGATAGCTCAGACTTAATGCAATTTTGATTTCTTTTGTTTTCCTTTCTTTTCTTTTTGTTTTTTTTTTTGTTTTCTTTTTTTGAATAATCCAATCTCAAGCAACATTCGTAAATTGCCTATCACGTAGCGAGATTTTTAATTGTACATTCAAAACACAAATTAACTTTCCATTATTATTATTATTATTATTATTATTATTATTATCATTATTATTATTATTATTTTTAAGTTGTGTAATTGATTTTAGCATTAATCTGATAGTGACCAGTCTCAAAATTATGATGTAACAAGAAGGGGACAAACGAAAGGCAATCGGAGTCCAGGTGGACAGGTGAAATTACTGCGAAAACTCCTCCAACAGACAGTACTGACTTCCCAATTATCAAACTAGCCATATATCATGCCTTTACATTTATTTAGTAATATAAGGGAAGTGTGACTGCAAACATTACCTTGTGCAAATCCTCATATTTGAGGAACAAGACATTAGGATCATCTTTGTGTTTCCACCAGTCAAGAACATGGTCATTCCAAAAGTCATAACCAACTATTATTCACACATACAAAACAACGTTACGAAGTGCGTCATATCCATATATGTATAGATTATACAATGTGGTGAATATTACGCGTGCTGTGATTGGTCTTTGCCCATGAACTATAGAGAGGAAAAGTGTGACGTCACCTTACCAATGGTAGCAATTTTTCTGGATCTCAACAGTCTTTTTTGACCGAGACGGCCATTTCAATTGTCCAACGATAGAAGAAAACTATGGGCAACCGTTTTGTTCCTGAGTGTAGCCATGCACAGAAAGGACCACGGTTTGTTGAGATCCAGAAATTTTGTTACCATGGCAACTTGACATAACGACTTCTCCTCTCTGCTAGATTACAGACACATGGATGACCTTCTCCATGGGAGAACTCTTGTTGTGACGGCCAAAAGTTGACTGCGGACGCTTAATAGAGGTGGCTGCTCAGTAGAGGTTTACGTTTCCATTCTTTTCTACTATTATTTCGGGACTTTGATTACTGGCCCCTTAACAGGTGACCGTTTAAAGGCGGTTCAACTGTATGTCCTTTTCTCTTTTCTGATCATTGTATAAAACGAATCGATTCCGTGTTGCCGTGGGTCTGTTCAGTAATAGATCACAAAAGACCTCGCCCCATGATAAGGAATCGGGATTCCGGAATCAGGGAAATTTTTGCTTGTGGAATCCGGATTTTGGGCTTTGGAATCCGAAATACAGCTCAAGGAGTCCGGAATCCCACTAACGTTTGGAATCCGGAATCCATTACCTGGAATCTCGAATCCACAGCGTGGAATCTGGATTTCCTTACATGGGGCGAGAAGACCGATCAAAATGCGGTGAAAACTAAAAAAGGGGTATAGTACACTCGCCTACGGCTCATGTACCCCTTTTTTCAGTTTTGACCACATTTTGACGCCATCTGTGATAAACAGTAAAAACCCACGTATAAGAATCTAGATTTTTCCAACTTAGCCTAAATGGCTATTTATAGAAATGGTTAGCCTGCAGTGCAGGCGTTTTCTTCAGGCGCACGAACGTTTTTGCCCGCGAAAAAAAGGGAGGGGGAGGGGCAGGGGGCGGGGAGAGAGAAGAGATTTTTTTCCTTCCTTCCCCTCCCCCGTTTCCTTCTTTCGTCCTAGCAACTACCCAATCTTCCTCTGTCATAAAATCAAAGGTGGCGGCTACAACAATACGAACATGAACAAGCAGCTTTGACCCGCCCAAAATACGCCTGCACTGCAGGATAAGAAATTGTATTTAGTGGAATTTTAGGCTACTTAGGTTCTGAAATAGGTTCTTAATTTGATAGGGGCACTAGCGATCAGCACAGATAACTACTACAGGGCATATGAGATATGGAATATATTGCAGTATTAAATATTTATCTAGAATACAGTTTAGATGATAACCATACAGAAAATTTATCTTTCCAAAGTACTAGCATACATGTCTTTCACGTCGCCAGTGTCTATAAAATGCTGTGTTGGCAAAGACACAGATATGGTTTTCCTTTTAGTTGACATTCTTTGAATCGTTCTCACTGAAACCTACACTAAAATTATTTTTTCTGGATTTTTATCGGTGCTTTTATTTTGGTAAATAAGAATGTGTTGAAAATTGTACGCTACATAGGTTCTTATGAAAAGGGAATTTAAATTGAAAATTTCAGCTTTTAGTTAACGTGTTCTTAAATTTTAGGTTCTTTTACACAGGGTTTTACTGTGTTATTTTGAACAGACGCACGGTAACATGGAATCTATTTGTTAAATTAATAGATATCACGAGCGAACAAATATTTAATATAATTCAAGTGTCTTGAACCTCTTGGTTCAGGAAACATGATCCTAATGCACTCCTGGGGGTGTACTATTTTATATGGCTGATATGAGGATGTTCCACTGGACAGGGCATAGTTGTTTGTCCCCCTCTGTCCAAAACAGCGAGCAGGGTTCTACCTAGGATTTATCAGGTAGGGGAGAAGTCCTGAGTGGCCGAAGGCGACGAGCATCCTAAGGGGATCCGGGGGCTCCCCCCCCCACCGAAAATTTTTGGAAATGAATATGCGCTGAGATGCAATCTGGTGCATTTCAAGACACAATTTTGAGAAATGTTACAGTGTGTTCACCAACCTCGTCACGTCTGGATGATTTTTGCGACATAGTTGCTCATATACTGTAATGATAACAAGATTTTTTTGGGGGGGGGGGAAGCTAGGCATTTGGGGGCTTTTACCCCTCAAATACCCTAGATAGAACCCTAGCTGGCAGGGTATATAATTTCTTGCATGTTCGTCCCAAGCAGGGTTTAATCTAATTTCATGCGAGTCTGTCCTAATTATATACAGGTTATTGTCTGCAAGATTGATTTGATTTGCTAGATGAAATTTGTTTGTACTTCAAGAAAACAAAAGCATAAAATATAATGTAAATTTGCTCTATTTCAATTGCCAATTAAGGACTTTAAAACAAGACGTGTACTTTTTGTCCTTTGTCCTAAACAGGGTATGCACTTATGCACTGTTTTGTCCTAAACAGGATCAGGGTTTCAAACCCTGAGACCCCCCTCCTCCCCGGATGCCACTTTATTCCCTGTCAATCGTATAAGAATAAGTGCTCAGGCTCCTACGATAAAATAATTTATGATAGCTGATAAATTTGACTAACTTACCATTTCCCTCTATGAACAACTTGCAACAAAATTCCCATGATGGTCCACTGAAATCATCGAGGCCAACCTTTTTCCAGTGTTCCATGAAATGAAAATATGACACTGCCACATCCTTTGGATTGCGAGCAACATAAATATATTTACAGCGAGCAGCTTTGTCGGCACTTTTTGGGACAGTGCTGTAGGTAAGGTGAGACTTCATCAGATGAGGACTTGGTAAAGACTTAAAGTCAACTAACAGCTCTTCGTCAGCACTGCAGGCCCTTGCTTCAAGGAATGGGAATCGAAACAGTAGCTTTGCGCTGCTGATTGCTCCCTCATTGTAGATTTGCCAAACAATTTCTTGTACCCAAGTTGTCCCTACATACAATGAGTGATAAACATATAGAAACAATTTGAAATAATAAATTCTGGAAGAGTTGTCAGAGTTGAGAGAAAAGTAGCCTGTAGAGCAGGCGTTTTTTCTGTCCTTAAAAGCGCAACCTAGAGGTTCTCCCTTGGAATCACTTTTTGTCTCGCCCAAACTCTCTGTCACTTTAAACATCTACATTGATCGCACTGCAAAATACACCTGCTTTGCAGACTAAGGGAAAAGATTAAGAGATTGTGGACACCAGTGGTAGGGGGTCAGTGGATCGGGGGTCAGCATTTTATCCGTGTCATGCCATACATAAACACATAAACATGACTTACTTACCGCGATCATTTGTATCCTGAGTTTGGGTCAACCTAAATTGTTAAGTCATTTACTGTCAAGTTCGTTTGTTGGGTCAAATGGCGAATCTCAGAAAATTAAACTGATAAAATTCAGCCAAACTTTAACTGAGAAACAGAGTAAAACCAGCCTTTTTTCTGCGGTGTCTAGAAAACGATGACCGAAGACCTAGAAAACAAAGACCCCCTTAAAATCACTTGGAAACGCCTCGAAACTGCTAATAACTACTTCTAGACACTAGAGGAATGTATATAAGAATCAACAAGGTTTTCAATTATCCAAAATTTTGATGCCGGACTATGAACTGTTAGGAGAAGCAGAATATTTTCCCCGTTTGACAGAGCATATTTCATAACAAAACAAGGTCTTACATAACTGTAAAAGAAACAAAGGTGAACAGCATTATCAATGTTTAGCTAAACAAGTCGACTATGGTTTTTTAAAATTGCAAGGTCCGCAGTCTCAAAGTCGTTACGAGTGGATTTAGACAAGTGTTGAAATCACCAGCTGCTTTAACTGGCATAGTTTGAATTTAAAGATTAAGTGTACAGTGTGCTTGTTTCGGTTTACATGGATTAACGATCTGAACGATGAAGGAAAATTACTAATTACGTGTTTTTGTTTGGGCTTCAGTGAACTGCAGACCTCGAACCGTGGTAGCAGGAGTTAATGTTGTTAGAGAATATTACAGTGTTCGGGAATTACTTTTGCGTGTCTTAGCACAGGCGGCTCAAGCTCAGCGGATCGGGAAAATAACCCGCAGACAGCAAGCAAAAACAAGAAAAGTAAATACGGTAAGCTGTATTTTATTGAACATTCTAGCGAGTATCTATCTACTTGAATCTTTTACCTGAACTCCCATACAAATCCTTTATATTCACGGCCATTTTAAATTACGCAATATGAAACTACATGACTATATATATTTAAAATGATTAAAGTCACACACTGAGCTCGGGCGGCCTGTGGTCTTAGTTTTCCGGGCCTAAGGTCTTGCGTCTTAGGTCTTTTCATTTTCTAGGTCTTTGTTTTGTAGTTCGGTCTTCGTTTTGTAGACACCCTTTTTTCTCTGCGGCTTTTCAAGATTACGATTAAAATTATCATAAGTTGCACGAACCTGACTTAGGATATGTAACCACGAAAACATCATCTGGTCGCGTCTCGAAATTGGAAATATAGTCGGCTAGCAATGCTGGATTGTCGGTGAAAAATGTAACAAGTTTCACACCCAAAATGTCCCAGTATTTTCCTGATGTCCATTCACCTTCTGTTATTTGAATGGACGGAAAACTTGCCATAATAAATTCTTGCGTTCGTAGCGTTTTTTTGCAGTGACTGAAACTACAGCATGGGCGATAGCGTGACGTTCTTTACAACGAATAATAAGCGCTTTGCACTAATGACGTCACAAATTTTCGGGTTCCTGCTGTGACTCAGACATTGAACCTGACCAGTATAAGACGTATAAGAGTTTTAGATGGGAAAGTCACGTTGGCCAACAACTTTTCGTCGTCTTTGAAGATTTTTATCGTCAACAGAAACAATATCCAGCTTGGTTTCGATAACATTATCCTGAAAATAATCAACGCGTGCCAAGACAACGTTCAACATGGAAAAAAACTTTACAAATAAGTGATTTCATTTCTTATACGGTGTCATTACTGTGGTTAAATTTTACCAAGAAATGTGTAGCGTGCCCTGCCGGACTGGCATTCTTAGGGGTGCGTCACGCGTTCCTGACGTTCGTGGGGCAGGAACGCGTGACGCACCCCTAAGAATGTCTGCAGGGGAGGTTAAGACCCTGTTTACATGGAGTAGGGGACCCCAGTCTAGTGGGGTAAGTTTCTTTTGTTTTGTGTCCCCCAGAGCGTGAAAACAAAAGAAACCAACCCCACTAGACCGGGGTCCCCCACTCCATGTAAACAGGCCCTAAGAAGTGTGTGGAGAGCAGGGCTTAAAGCTGTTCATAAAACGGTGTATTAGGTTAAATTTATAGGCAAAGGTTGCTCAATTTTTTTTCGAGTGCTTTTGTTACGCTACTCTGTATGGTATCTACCTGGCCGCGCTTCAACAGAACAAACTTACAGAATTTCCGGTTTGCGCTAATGTTGCTGTGCTTTTCCTGCTTAGAAATTCTGCTACAGGCTTGGGAGAAGCATACTGAGAAACTCATTTTTTTCTTTAGCAATTTCGATTTGGAGTATTAATTACACAGCTAGAAATAATATTTCGTCTTGTTTCAGTGCGTATAGTGCTATCTGAGCAAGACACAGCAAGGGATCCGATTTCAGAAGCCTTCTTTGATCAAGTCGCTTTATTTTCTGATTTTAACCATTTATTTGAGTTACTTGGACCATTTCTCCCTATAGCTGTAATGCCTTTTCTATATTAGAATAGATCTCAAAAAAAAAATTTAAAAACACTCACTGCGAATTTTATGAACAATTTTCATGTCGGAAACGCATGTTGCTCTTTCAGCCTTTGAGTAGAATGGAAAGTTTGTCTGAGTAACGCGAGGGGTCTAAGGTGACAAAACCTATTTTTAGCAATAGTGCTATTAGGGACCGACCATTTACTTTTTATGTGGCGGGAGGCGGGGTTGAGCAATTTCCAAGGGCTAGGGTTAGGGTTCAGCGCCGGCGGATTTAGAGGTGGGCCAGGGGGGGCTACACCCCCCGCCCCCTTTTGTGCTGGATTTTCTTTTGGTAAACGTGTTTCAGATGGTACTTCGTCACTTCGAGCGGGACGGGTTGTGCTCTCGCCTCAGTGGCTTCGGCCGCTGGTGGCATCATAAGGTTGTTGTTCAAAATGGAATCCAGGCATTTGCTAAATTAAGCGTCCAGAATGCACTACATTGTATCTCAGAGAACTTCAATCTCAAAAACTTTCCCGGAGAAGCATGCTTCCGAAACTCGCTAGAAAACTGCGCCGTTCGCAGTCCTGATGGGTGCTATCGCGCTCATATTGCCACTTTATACCATATCTCTAGGCCCCTCTATCACAATATCCTCAGTCCGCCTGAAATTCAATACCAATGGACCTGTTAATGTGTTTGAGATATGTCCAAAAAGTGTCATTTTTACCAATATAAAAAATCAGAGAGTAGCAACTGTTTTAATCGCCTCCTCATTATTTCTTATCCAATACCCGAGCAAGCGAGAGTTGCCCCCGCTTTTAAGAACGTTCTTGTTGAGTTCTAGCTTCTATATAACGCATAAATCAGAAAGTAAAATAATTGTCGGCTGTGCCGGTTTTATCCTCAAATGCAAAGACACTGAAATGATTGAAATACCTATATGTACCAGAAAAAGGCAAGGATTCAAAGTCATATCAAAGTCACTGTATAAAGAAAAAAATACTTAGGAATAAAAGTAAACCATTACAATTAAAAAATTTGCATTGTTGAGTGACATCAGTCATCCATAATTTTGCATTATCCCCTCATTGACGTCAACGATGGTATAAAATCAAATGTCTTTTAAACTTTTTAATTGTCAGCGCCAGCTGGTTATAAGGAACTAGCAAAGAAATTAGAGCCAATCAGAGACAGAAAATTAAAATTTTTAATGATGAATGAATTATGAAACTGATATTATTTCTATCGTCTCAAAATTGCAGGTAAACCACGAACTCAAAACAGCGCAATCTCTTAATGAGATTGTCATCAATCCATTACTTATCGCATGTACATGGAAACTGCTCAATTCTAAACAAATGATTTCCAAAATTCGAGTCTATAAGTGAATATAAGAGTTCTATCCAAGCAAATATATTGTTTCCTTTATCAAATGATTGTCCGCTATATCTCAAAATCAAACACTAATCCAGTTCCTTTTATTTTTCCCAACACTTCCTTTTCAAATCTCTCATTCAGTTCTGGAGTGAAGTAACTTTTCCAACCTCCGACCACGCCCTTCCGTAAAAACGGCGAACTCTGAACGTCGTCCCTTGTCTTGTAGCTGTTCTCATTTTCTTTCATCCCCTTGAAAGTGCACTGCTCTGCAATACGATTGATGAGTTCATCTGAGAGCGGCTTGTTCAGGAAATTCGCAATTATTCGTACATGGGACGGTAGATCCTAGGAGGAATGACAGTTGTATTGTTTAGATTTAATTTTCATTGAGGTTCAGAGGAAGTTGGTTAGTTTTTTTAAAGTTATTTAATTAATTTTAGTTCTAATCAAACAGCACTTGACTGCTTTCAAAATTTGCGATAGTACGTAGGGGACAAAGAAAAACGATCTGAGTCCCGGACAGGGATGTAATCCCCTAGAAACTCCTCCATAGTCATATATAGTTATTTCTTTTTAACGGGGTAGTAGTTTAAGGTCGCAGTATCCATATTTTCGGCTGGAGTGTTCATTATAGATGACTTAGATAACTTAAAGATTACTTGAAAAACTTTTAGTATCAACTATCTCCCTAAGATACTAAAAGAATGAATTTGAGAGAAGCAAACACTACTTTTCTCGCAGGCTGTGTTTAGTAGAGAATTTTACTTCGATTCATTATATTATCTTGACTATTCGAGCGTTTCAAAATCCTCAAAGAGATTCTTCATTACATATTGGCCTTTTCCTAGAAAAGCGAATCATTCCATTGCAAGTCCTTCTAAAATTTTAACCAAAGTTAGGCTCCATTTCCGCCGCCCTCACATTTCTCAAACAGCGGCTGGTAATTGAGCACCGGGAGATACTCAAGAAAGTTTTATACGGGAAGGCTCCGCCCCCAAGTCCAAACCTCTTGATTGCTTGCGTACTTGCTAGTGAAATCCCTACCCTTTTACATACCTGACGCGTAAAAAGGCTCCCCTTTCGAGTGGAGCCTCCACGTACAGGCAATTATAGGGAGTACTCCCCCGGAAATCGAGCCTAGTCCAAGCTCCAAAGTAGAATTTCCCGCCCAAACTCTTCCCGAGTTGATCCTGAGAAAGAAATAAATATAAATATTAAATATTGTCTTGTCTTGACTTCCCTCCACCCCCTCACATAGTCAGGATTCAATCTCCGGCAGGCGTATAAGATATCAAACTAGCCACCGAGCTAAGAGTTATCGAGTTATTATTGTAAGAGAACATTACCTTGTGTAAATCTTCATATTTGAGAAACAAGACATTAGGATCATCCTTATGTTTCCACCAGCCAAGAACATGATCATTCCAGGCGCCGATAGGCAACTTCACAAAACAAAACTGGCATTATGGTGTGAATATATAGCCTGCGTGGCCCCTCCCTATTTCCCTTCCTCCCTATCCCCTACCCCTTTCGACGCCTGCTACGCAGGCTATGTTTTATATAATAAAGGATTAAATTAACTGCAAAAACCGTGGACGAAGATCCTGCTAGTTAAAAATGTTGGATCTCTAGAAAAGAGATCTAATCAGCCAAAATATCAAGAACCAAAGACGACAAGTCCAAAGACTACTGCAAAGCTGATTCATAACAACGTGTATTGTTTTTTCATAACAATATTTCGGCTGGCTATACCAGCCTTCTGTAAACCTGAAGAAGGCTGGTATGGCATGCAGAAATATTGTTATAAAAAAACAATACACGTTGTTATGAATCAGCTTTGCAGAAGTCTTTGGACTTGTCGTCTTTGGTTCCTTATGTTTCCAAAAAATGCCTATATTTGACGATTATTCACTTAAGGCGAGGCCAATATTTTTGATTAATCCCCGAGACTAAGTTACCTGAGTTATTTTACTGGAGATATTTAGAATAAGAGATAGACCGGGTGGGTTTTGAAAATTTATAACTTTTAAGACATCATATGAGATAGAAAACGATCTATCTCAGCGATCGTTGTCGCTGCGATCGCTGAAGAGTGGTTTCAATATAATCGCTATGGAAACCGGGCGGATTAAGAAGTGCTTCTTCCTAAAAATGTGACAAAAGTTTTTGTTCTGATATATTTCACTGATTTACCTGCCTTTCCTTCTATAAACAACTTGCAACAAAATTCCCATGGGCCATTGAAATCACTCATTCCAATCTTTTTAAAATGCTCCGTGAAATGAAAATATGACACTGCCACATCCTTTGGACTCCGAGCGACGTAAATGTATTTACACTGAGCATCTTTATTTGCACTTCTTGGAGTAGTGTTGTGGGTGAGGTGGGTCTTTATCAGGCGAGGACTTGGTAGAGTTTAAAATCAACAAACATCTGCTTGTCAGCATTGCACGCGGAAGCTTCAAAGAATGGGAAACGAAACATTTGCTTTTCACTGCTGATTGCTCCCTCGTTGTAGATCTGCCAGACAATTTCCTGTACCCAAGTTGTACCTACAAACAATGATCGAGTAACAAAGAAGTAAATAATCGATGGCGAGAGAGTTGCCAAAGATCTCGCCTTAATCTCACCGCATGTAAGATACGGTGAAACCTCTATTAAGCAGACCCCCAATTAAGCCGGGTCACGAAATTAACGCCGTATATTTCCCTTCACGAACCCCTGTTCAGCGGACACTTCTATTAAGCGGACGCGGTCACTAAAATAAATTGTATTTGGCTAATCGCTATTGTTAAAAACCTCTATTAAGACGACACCGGACTGAATTGACAATAGTGGTATTGGATTACGTCAGCTACCTACGTACTGTAGTCGATTAATAACCTAAGATAAATCAATTACAAAACTATCGATCCTACTGAGATGTTACTTTCATGGTGTATTAGAGCAGCTGAAAACTAATTTTCATACAAATTTTCGCTTCAAAAGGGTTCTTGGTTTTGTAATAGAGCACGCTTGAATTTCTAAGCTTTTGCGTGACGCGCCATTTACATGACGGCCGAAAGAGCTGTCATTTAGGATAAAAAAGTGACTTTTTTCGAGGAATTTTGCTATATAAACAGTTCAAGTGTTAGAAAAAGTAATACTATAATGTTTATGAGTTCCTCTAGGTGTAAATTCACGCTTTTGTAGAAAAAACTCGGTAACAGATGTTTCTAATGGTTTCCGTCGGCCATGTTGGAGCTCATCCGGATGAGCTCCAGCATGGCGTCTCCATACAAAGCTCTATAAATTTGGGTAAAACATTTCCTCGGATATCTCGTATACGACTTATTCCTTCGACCCAAATCTTGGCAAGGGTCTTTTTATGTTTACCTCGTTTCATTTCCCAGATTCTGGACTTTATCTGTCGAATGATTTTGATTTTGATTTTGATCTATTTTGGATGGCGTGACACTGAAAACCAGCAATACATTTAGCTGTCGATAAACTGTATGCCGATATCCGGCCTTATGATTGTCATCCGCAATTAAAGTTTACCTAAAAGTCTTGCACAAAGTACATCTTCCTTTAATAGTTTGCTAAGCTTCCTTAACAACATGGAACTTTATCACAGTGCAGAGTAACCGTTGAAAAACATTGCGCAATTTTTACAAACCTCTAAAGCGGACACTTGACGGAAGGTCCCGAAGGTGTCCGCTTAATAGAGGTTTCACTGTATTCAAGACTCCGGAGTCTTAATTTTTTCGTATGGAATCCGGAATCCTGGCCTTTTTAATCTGGATCCGAAATTCAACTCTAGGAGTCCAGAATCCCGCTAATGATTGGAATCTGGATCAGTTCGTCCCGTAGGGGCGCTTTCCATGCATTCAATCCAAATTTCCGACTGAGCCTTCAATAAGTTTATCACTGACAGTAGGGTCGATGGACAATTCTTGTAAAGTCCAGCTCTAGCTAGCTAGTTGTGACCACTTTTATGGATCTGCTGAGGGTCAGGGTTGTGAGGGTTGCTACCTTACGAGAGCTTTGACTGTATTCTCGCTCATTTGTAGCATTAGAGAGCCCTGTTAGGTTAAATTCCGACAAGCGAGATGGCCGTGAAGCAGCGACATAGAACGGCAGAAAGGGCGACAAATTAAACGACTCAAAGATGGGTTAAAATTACGACAGCGACAGAGAAAAGTCCAAATACAATAGTAAAACACAGACAGTGACATGGTCCCCTACCCCCCCCCCTCCCCACCCCGCAAGAGGGCCTCATTAGGTTCGTCACTTGTGCTGTTGTGATGTTGACGTTTGACCCTGAATAGGGGCAGCCGAATTAGTTTACTTTTATGACCGACCCCTTCTTGTTTTTTCTTCTTTTTTTTCTAGTTCTAGCTTTCGCAACAATTTCGCGCAGAATTAAACGCTTGTTACACTGGCTATACTGGGTAAGGTGCCTAATATAATGATAAACAGCACAAACCTGACTTAGGGTATGAAACCACAAACACATCATCTGGTCGCGTCTCAAAATTGGAAATATAGTTGGCTAGCAAATCTGGATCGTCAGTAAAAGTTAATGAAATGTTCACGCCCAAAACGTCCCAGTATTTTGATGATCTCCATTCGCCTTCTGTCATCTGAATTACAGGAAAACAGGCCATGAGAAATTGTTTCGTTAGCAGTACTTGAATCGAGCTGTTGAATTTTTTCCGGTTGAAGCCAGTCCCTGCGATGAAGCGTGACGTTCCGATCTATTGGTGCATAAATTGCTAACATCATACATCGTCATTCACCTAAGTCACGGTACCGTACCGTACCGAGGGCTATTGGGCGCGATCCACTCAACCAAAATTTCCGAAAATTTCGGTCCAAAACTCAATGGATCGGTTCGGTCCAACCGGAAAAGTTTCGAAAAAACGGGTCCACCTTTTGAGGTGGACCACTTTTCCCGGTCGGACCAGTTGGAATTTTCGTTGAATGGATCGCACCCATTATTTCTTTTTTCTTGCCAAACGGGGACGTGACGCCGTGATCGCACATTTTTGGTGTCCTTCAATCGTGATGTACTGACGAAACTGTTCTGTGAATCGTGACTGAAGTACCCTCCGTGAAAACCTGAACTGTCAAAGTCCTCGATTGTTTACAGATATTGCAATTGAAAATCAACTGAACAAAATAAATCGTTAATATAATTTGGCCAAACGACCTTAACTAGCAATCTGGTAGCTTGATCTTGATTTAACTTCACTTTCGAGTCTTTTGATGTAAGTTCACACTTCAGTGCGCTAAGACCCACCTACAGCTGGCTTTCCTAGGGAATTTATAGCCGCGCAGTGTTTTCTAGCCTGCGTAGCAAGCGTTTCCTCGCGACGTTCGTCTAGAAAGCTGGGACAAGAGCAAAAAAAAAAATGAATGACTTGCTCGTAATAACTCGATTGGAAACGCTTGCTACGCAGGCTAAGTGTTTTCATAAGGTTCGTAAAACTCTCGTTAACTTAAATCAAAGCACTCTGTTTTACAAAATAGAACGTAACGTTTTTGACATCTTGTACGACCTCTATTTTTGAGAAGCGTGAATACGTTGGTTCGTGATTCGTGAATCGCAAAATTGTCAGTTCGTGAACTCGTGATGAGAGATAAAACTGTTTCGCATATATAAGAAGCTGATATTCTCAGTTTTTATCAAAATTATCTTGCGTTTAGAAAAAAATGAACAAAGCTGACCTGGGATAACTGACCACTGGCGAAAACGTCATCTAGTATCGTATGGCAGTTCGATATGTGATCGGCTAGCAACGTTGGATTTTTGGTGAAATATGCCGGTATTCTAACTCCCAAAATATCCAAACATTTTAGTGTTGTCCATTTGCCGTCTGTTTGAATTGCAGGACTAGCCATGAAAAATTGTTGCTTGCCTTGCGCACAGCGTACGAATTAAAGGACAACAATTCTGTTACGCGACGAAGTACATCATCATCCATCATTTATTTTTTTATGCTTGATCTTACATTAGCTCAAGGTCAGAACAAATGGATATCTCTTTTTAGTAAAATCCAGCTAGTGGTCTATTATCAATGCTACGTTCTGATTGGTTGAGCTTCTACTATAGGCTATATGTTATAGCCCACTAGTAGCGAAAAGCGCCGGATTTTTGGCGAAGAAAAAGGATTAAAGTCTTGCTTTAAGTTGTTTTGTCTCGATATTTTTGACCAACTAGTTGGATTTTATAATTACTAAAACAATTATTCCTCTCGCCCTCATGGCCTCTGAGTCAATAGCCCATTCGGCCTTCGGCTTCATGGGCTAATGCGTCAGAGCTCATTCTGGCTCGAGGAATAATTGTTAAATACAACGCCTTTCAGTTTTCATGGTCATTATTTAATAGAACCGTATGAACACCCGAGTTAAATACAAAAGGAAAAGAAGGTCACAAAACGACAGGAGATGGAGCTTGCTTACTTTGTCAAGACAAAACAAAGCAAGCTAAACAAGATGATAGAGTTTTGAAAAAAAAAAAAAAACGAACGGTACATCAATGCCTGAGCCTGATGACTATTGTAGCTTACTTAGAAGGCGCTCACAAGTAACAGTGGAGACCTTACAGGGGTCATTACTTTAATGAAACTTTTACAAGTGTAATTTACATGTCTAGCTATTGTTTTAGAGTTCGAAAACAATAGTTTTCAACACTTGTAAATTGCAATAGCCGATACAATGCCTTCCAAAGTTTATAATTATGATTTAGTCAGTGTTTAGTTACCGCTTTCTATGACAAATTAAAAACTAACAATAAGAGAAGAGAACAGTTTAAATCAGTGTATAAGTAAGAGTCAACAGGGCGGATTGAGATGAATAGCAGGTTTCTTCACAGGTGTCCCAAGCTCTCGTTGCAAGTCACGGGTTATGTAAATTAACTTTCTCACAAGAGAGTCGGTGTCGCGTTACAAGCAACCGTTGAGATGGAATTTCAAAAAAGTCCTTCATCGGATTTCATATCGCGACCTCTCGCGACTTCGTCGCTCGCGGTCGGCCGCTTCGCGGCCAAGCAATCGCCCCATGTAAGGTAATCCGGAATCCGGAATCCAGGTAATTTTGGTCTGTGGAATCCGGAATCCACGGCTTTGGAATCCGGAATCCAGCTAATGGAATCCGGAATCCAAGTATTGTAATCCAGAATCCAGGTTGCTGGAATCCACTCTGTGGTGATGGTTCCAGAGATTCACCGGAAAGCGATTCAAGATTCCATTCCAGATGAAAGAGTGAGCACAACATTAGTTCCAGAACTGGAATTCAAGCACTGGAAAAAGAACGGGGCCTCTCTTTTAAGCTACCCGGTAGGATTGGCATTCTCCCCAAAGCATAGCAGGCTGTTTATTACCGATAGACATCTCCATGCAGTCTTCATGGTTGACATGCACTGTCCAGCAAATGTCACATTAATCGCTGGTGGTGGTGAGCCCAGGCACACTAATGGATATGGCAACAAGGCCAGATTTAGAAACCCAGCTGGTATTGCGGTGAAAGAGAGCGGGAAGCTGTACATTTGTGACCAAGGAAACGGAAGAGTTAGAGTAGTCAATTTGCGAACGCTTTTCTGTCACGCTTCCCAGATTGTACAAGGGAGCGCCGAAGAAAGCCAAAGTGAGGAAGAAGATTGCGCCGGTAGACGTATCCGTAAAATCCATGTACACGATCTTTCCGTTATTTCTGAAGGTAATGTACCGGATCTGGTGTCACCATTTGCCATATGTGCGTCTGCAAAGGGTAGCGTTGAACTGTTTATGTCAGACGTTGGTCTTGGCAAGATTTTTTCAATTTCTGGTGTTGTAGACGATGAGGAAACTAACTGCGTCGGCCAGTTAAATGAATTGTTTTGTTTTGATCGATCTAGTTTATTAACTTCATTAGCCTTAACACGTGACGAGCAATACTTGTTAGTTGGAGACGGGAATGGTTCATGTATTCATCTTTGTCAAGTGAGAGGACGATTGAAACTGAGAACAATTTCGAATATTCCAGGCCTCATGGGTATTGCAGTGACAGATGGTGGAACCGTCTTCTTGTCCTCCAGCAAAGAACACGCACTGTTCAGTTTGAAGGAAGAAGAGATGCTTGGGGGTAAAGAAACCTTAACAAAAGTGTGTGGAGAAACTGCAGGCCATCGTGATGGTGTCCAAAGTCGATGGAACAAGCCTACTGCTTTATGCGTATATCGAAACACTGTTTTCGTATGCGATACCGGTAACGTAGCAATAAGAATGTTGACGTCAGCAAAGGGACTGATCCCCCTGCAAAGTAAGATGGCCCAATATGCAAACGTGTTCCGACTCGACAAGAAAGCCAAAGAATAAGTCCTACCACGTACATTTGAAGATCATGTGAAATCTGTCGAGGAGTTGGTTGCATTTCTCTCTAACCACGAACAGGAAGCCCTGGAGAGGACGGGCAAGCGAAATACCAACGGTCCCGACATGACCATACCGGCCTCGATGCACCCGACAGTCCTTCCTCATAGTGCTAGAATCGCTGACCAGCCTTACCAACACGCTAACGGAGATTGGGCATAGTCACCTTCTGGACAGGATCTGTTTCGAAAGTATGACAACTTTGGGCGTGGAATGCTATTTCAAAGGAATGCGAGCAGACCACGACATGCCTACAGTGGCTAACTACGCTTACAGAAAAGCGCGCTGCGTGGAAGACGATATGCTGCGCATTTACCAGAAGAATTTCTCATATTTCACTGGGCCCAATTCATATTATCCGGAGAAAATTATCAAAGGTGAACGCCCAAACATCAAGACGCGACCAAACAAGCTGTCAGCAATCACTGAAGGAACAGGTAGCAAAGAAGAAGACACAAGGCGAGAAACTGTGATGCGAGAATTTGCTAAGGAGTATGGAAGAGGCGTAAGACAGGAAAATGTCCGCTCAAAAACGAAAGAGCTAACTGTCACCCTTCCTTATGCCCTTAGTATGTGTCCCACTACCATCACAGCCTCATTAGAGGAAAGCGAAGACGTAACAACAGCCTGCCAAGTTGTGGATGCTAATGTGGCATTGCGGAGTACGGCTGTACGGGTGCAAACCATTTACCAGAAAGACGACATATTGGCAGTAAGACACAACCGTAGAAGAGAGATCTCACCCTTCTGGCTAGCAGTTCTTCTGGAGGATGTACAAATAGAAGTGAATGGTGGAAAGTTTGTGCAGCAAAGAGTATCCCTAAAGTGGCTAAACCAAACAAGTGATTCACTAACATACACCTCCGGTGATGTCTGTAATGGGAATTCCCCCAAGTGCATTCTAACCCGAGTACTCGACTTTTCTTCCGATGGATCAGACATCATTTTAACAACAGAGGAGGATAACAGGCTCTGTCGAATTGCTAATGGGGACTACGGTGACGATGATGACAATGAGAATGAAACTGCACCACCAACTGCAGAGGATGAGGGAGAAGTATCCCTCCCGATAAGACTGCCGGGAGTTAGTTTATCAGGACGGAGAACGACACGGTTTATTCTAAGATAAACGTTTCCGTTGCCTGCGTGGCTTGTAGTATAGTAATTGGACTATCTTCACGCTATTTGTTGGTAAGCTGTAACTGAAGTTTTACATTTCTGTGTGGCAATTAAACAATTCGGAGACGAATTATGTTTGAACCTGAAAAGCACTGATTTTGGCAATGTGTACCTCTTTTGTTATTGTTGACGCCGTTGTTATTATTAAAATAAGAATAGCCCTTCCTCGTTAGTATTTCTTCAACGATGTGGACTCAGTGGACTTCAGAAACCGCTCCTATATTCATAATCCTCTCGGGTAAGGCCAAGAATTATATTTTATACTTATATTTTATATAAGACAATGTACACTTCGGGTAAAAAAAGAACAAGCTTTTTTGGTGAAAACAAAGTACAAAGGAAACGTTGAAAACCAGAAAATAGAATTTTGAAATCTGGAATCCAGCCACTTATGGAATCCGGAATCCACGGATGTGGAATCCGGAATCCACAGGCATGGAATCCGGAATCCACAGCGTGGAATCCGGAATCCAAGACTCTCTTGGATTACCTTACATGGGGCGAAAGCAAGGCTCGCTTCGCTCGCCACGAGGTCGACTTGTAGCAAGTCTACCGGTCTGCGAACACTAAATATAATTATTCTTACTTATTTTTCTATAAAATAAATAAAGGAGACTTACCTTTGATGTATTCCTTTGTTGTTTGGTGTGAATTCATCGATTTCGTCGGTTTTTTTGGCTGTTATTGTTTGACCTCTGCATGGGCTCCTGACCTCTGTCACTCTCTTCATAATACGAAGTTATTTATTTTATAGAAAAATTAGTAAGAATAATGATATTTAGCGTTCGCAGACCTTAGTATTTTATTTCTCATACAAAGTCTCAACGGTTGCTTGTAACGCGACACCGACTCTCTTGTGAGAAAGTTAATTTACATAACACACTCGTAACGTGAGATTGGGAGGCCTGTGGTTTCTTCAGTTGCGGACCGGCTTAACTTACAGTTTAGCAGCCTTCGCCGAGGACAGTCTTAAAACCGGGGCACCCAAAGGCGGTTTCGTTCTAGATACATTGAAACACTTAGGCTATCCAGAGCACTTTTAGATTTCTAGAAATGCGTTGTAAGCGTCGCTATAAAATTTGTATCTGTTCGGTCATCCTAGTAGATTATTTTCCCGAAAACTTTGGAAGCAATTTAACGCTTTACGAAAGTGAGAATTTTTTCTGATTCCTCTCTCCATCACATTTTTGAATCCGAAAATTTTAGCGTTCCTTTTTTGTGGAAAAATAGCCTAACCTGGGGAGTGAAATGTTAACATTAAACTTCAGAAAGTTATTGGAAATTTGTTAGATAAGCTTCGAAAGTTGTTCATGAATGGAACGGCCATCTAGAACATTTTTAGCAGTCCTCAAGTAATAGAAAATTCTAGGCAATATTTGCCTCTCCGAGCAGATATTTTACAGAAAACAGTCGTTGGGTGCCCCTTTCAAAATCCCGATATATCGAGGGTTTCTTTCTAGGTCCTCTAGCTGATCTAGGTCTCGAGTGATAAGTCTGAAAGTGACGAAGGTAAACAAAACTCTGTAGGCAGTAACACACCAGTCTTGTTGGTTTGCCTTTAGTCTTAGCCTCTGTATCAAGTAGGGATAAAATGGAATTCCGCCCCGCAAGAAATGTTTTTGGAATAATATATAATCTGACTACGTATCCGGGCTCTTTAATAGGGCAGAAACTCTCGACATACAACAGGTCATTGTTGTTTTGAACTTCTCGCTACATGTAAAGTAATCCGAATCGCCCGGGCGGGAATTTTTTGCTTGTGGAATTCCGAATCCAAGGCTTTGGAGGCCAACATTTCAACCCTGGAAATCTGCAATCCCGCTGACGGTTGAAATTCGGAATCCCTTTTCCACTGACAAAGAATCCAAAATCAATAGCGTGGAACCCAAAATTTAAGACAGACATGGATTTCCCTACTTGGGTCGAAACTTCTCAAGTACTTGTGCTAGTTAACAGTAAATCATATCTTAAGAAGTTAGATTACAGAATATATCACAGTAATGTAATATTTTTAAGACTCTACTAGATGAAACTGAACTCAGTATATCCTAAGAGCAACCTCGTCCCCAGGGCTTTTCCCTTAAAAATAGGTGGCGCCCCACCCATTTTTTAAGGGAAAACCCCTGGGGACGAGGTTGTTTTAAGAGACATATATGATCATACGTGACATGTATGATGAGCTTTTAGACAGTTAGCGCCTTTCCAAATCCAGAATCCAAGGCTGTGTTGGATTACCTTAAATGGGGCGAAATATTGTGGTGTTTATAGGTGACTGGGGGAAGGAACGTTAGAAAAGTGAAATATTTTTGGGTTCGTCATGGGTGCAAGCGGTTTTTGAATTAGCTAATGTTTTCTTTTGTCTGCCTGTTCCGGCTATATGGATTTTTTTTGTCACGTATGGATCTCAAAATCAAACTCTAATCCAGATCCTTCCAGTTTTGTCAACACTTCGTTATCAAATCTATCATTTAGCTCAGGAGTGAAGTAACTCTTCCAACCTCCGACCACGCCCTTTCGTAGTAACGGAGAACTCTGTTCTTCGGGACTTACTATGAAACTAATCTCATTTTCCCTCATGCCCTTCAAAGTGCACTGCTCTGCAATGCGATTAATGAGTTCATCTGTCAGTGGCTTGTTCAGGAAATCAGTAATCATTCGAACAGCGGAAGGTAAATCCTAAAAGAAACAGTTTAAGAGAGAGATTAATCCGTTACGTTGTAAGACCCCTACGTGCGTAATCAAGTACTTAGCAATAGAATTAAGCCAAATTAAGATGATATAAACTGATCACCAAAGAGGGTGATAGAACCGTAAATAACCGTTTAAGACAAGAACTTTCAATTTAAAGAGATTACAGTTGAGGTTTTCCAGTTGTTCGTCCTGCTAGATTTTCAGAGATCATTTCTAATGTTTGGAAGTTCAGATTTCAATAACCTGAAGCCATTTTTGCTGATCATTCTCATATGCATTTGACTGTGCGGAATTATCAGTAGCACCGAAGCTGTTCTGTTATTGGTGCATTTCGTCTCAATTTCGTTTCGTCCTCGAAAATGGTTGGTACAATATCAGGGGTTTCAATAAGTACCCACGACCGACGAAAAGCTCAGAGAAGTCGGTTACCTTTTTCGTGTAAGAAGGAGCAGTCATGACGTTTTAAAGGGAACCTCCACTCTTACTACAGAATAAGTTTAAATCGAATAAAATTATGTTGATGAACAAATTTGTTCGAAATTTGTCTTAAAAAAAGTGTTTATATCAGGAAAAGTGAATTTTAAAATCGCTTATTTTCACTTTCAAATTTCGCGGGCGCCGCCATCTTGAATAATTGTGACGTGTTACGGTTGCTCTATTGTTCTGACACAAAGAGCTTTTGTTTAATAACAATAGGGCAACCATTACACGTCACAATTATTCAAGATGGCGACGCGCGCAAAATTTGAAAACAAAAATAGGCGAATCTAAAAGTTATTTCTTTCGGATACAAACGCTTTCTTTAAAAATATTTTAGATTGACTTGACTGTAACAGTTATTTCCTGTGATTTAAAGTTATCTTTTTGTTGAGGTGGAGGTTCCCTTTAATAGTGTTGTAAACAAAAACATCTCAATGAAAACATAATTATGATGTGTTTTTTAATTCACCAAGAACCACTGGATTTATGGTACGCATTAGTTAGTCAATTTTCCACACCTTTCTACATAGATTTACCCAGAGTTTGTTCACTAGCAAATGTACGTTATTGAATTACCGTCATTTGTGTTAATTGCTGAAGGAGTTGATTGTGTGGCTGATAAACCGAAACTTGAATGAAACATTTTAGGGCTTGGAAATTTTAAAATTTTCTGGGGAAACAATGGCCCCTTGTTAACACTGTCAGTTACTCTAATCAAACCTGCTGGCTACTTCAATTGTTATTCTCAAACTCATTAATAATTCATAAAGAAAATTCAAAGGAAATTAATGTTTAATGAGTGTTTGGATATCGGATGAAAAACTGCTCATTTTTGCATCCTTAATTTCTCCTTCAAAAATGATTTTGTTTGAGAAGAAATATCAAACATTCGACACAGTGTTTCATCACCAGATGAAACACCTCGAAGTTCGTCAAAAATACTCCGCTACGCGTCGTATTTTCAACTCTCTTCTCGGTGTTTCATCTGGTGATGAAACACTGCGTCTCATGTTTGATATATTACTTGAAAGCCCTGGTACATGATAGTAGAAGGGAAGTTGTTTCCTCTGAGGTCCGCCGTCCAGCGACTGGATATGATCGTGGGCATTTATCATTTTGAAATTATATCAATTTTACGGTCTCCGTTGCTATAGAGTGTTTTCACTCAAGTGGCCAGCATCTATGCAAATGGAACAAAAGAAAGCGTTTGCATAATAAAGGAGTTCAACTCCCACAGGACTCGTTTCGGACACCAACATGGCCGCCGTTTCATTGTTTTGGGACACCAATATGGCCGCCGTGACGTCATGTGAAAAACTTATTGTTAGGGTGTAATCTTATTTCCCAGTACAAATTCTCCAGACTGATCTCCGTACATTTCCTTAAAGACTTATCTGATAGAAATTGATAAAGGATGAAAAGATTTTCTCTTTGCAGGTCTTTTTAATTTATTATTCTTATAAACCTTTTTTTTACGATCTATGGAGAAAATTGATGTTGGTCCTGTCCCTTGGGAAGGGTTATGTTATTTGCCCCTGCAGCATTACCTTGTGTAAATCTTCATATTTGAGAAACAAGACATTGGAATCATCTTTGTGTTTCCACCAGCCAAGTACATGATCATTCCAAACGTTCCAACACACTACATATTTATCAAAAAATACCAGTTAACTGACGAAGCTAAATGATATGATTTCAAGAATTATGCAGATCGAGTGACGCTCCCTAAAGTAAAGTCAAATTGTCGAACGGTCGGATTTTTTGCCTGGCAGCGGAATGGAAAGATTCTACCTTGGAAAACCTCTTACATTGATTTTTTTTTTTTTAAATTGTCCCATTTTAAGCAATCCGTCGAATTTTTGGAAAAGAAACTCAGTCATCTGTCCAAAACGTAGGGTCACCGACCATCTGAAGTATTTAAGAAACCTTATACTTTTCAGTGCACACGGTGAGAAGAGGTATTCTTGCGACTAAAATAGACTGTATTCATTGTTAATGATATCTAGAATACTCGTCGTATTTGTTGAAACTGACTTGTCACGTTACGCCCTCCTCAATTTTGATTCACGTATCACTCTTTATGCAAAAAACGCCAATCTCGACATTGGGGAAGAAGAGAAAAAGTACATACGGGGAAAAGTTAGATAAGTTGGTTGAAAAGGCATGACATGAAAAAACCTCACTTTCAGTTAAGTGTTTCGACGAAAATTGACGAGTATTGTAGCTGAAGATCAGAATTAAAGGCCCACATTCAGTACGTATACATCTGAACTTACCATTTCCCTCTATGAATAACTTGACGTAATATTCCCATGGCCCATTTAGGCCATTGCCTCTTTTACGCAAATAATCCGTGAAATGAAAATACGATACGGCAACGTCTTTGGGATTGCGAGCCACGTAAACATATTTGCACTGCATTTCTTTGTTCTCACTTTTCGGTATTCTTCTGTGTGGAAGATGAGTCTTTAGAATGCGAGGGCTTGGTAAAGTGTCCAAGCCAAATGGGTACAACTTTTTATTGGTGGATGGTTCAATAAATGGCACTCGCGATAGAAAATGTTCACCGCTGACTGCTCCGTCGTTGTACCTTTGCCAGACAATTTCTTGCACCCATGTTGTCCCTGAATGAAAATGATAAAAACATCAACTTTAATATATTAAAGTACTTGATAACGCTTTCAAGCTTTTTTTTTTCTCGTTTTTTCAGGCCTGTCCCAGTCACCACAAGTGCAGGTATCAATATTTAGACGGAGAATGGGGGACAGGGACAGGTGTGGCATTGGAACACTTCCTTTGTCCCTCCCATTCGGAGCATTTTGACCCAAATTTGGTCCCAAATTGCGGTTTTGTTAACCCTGGTAAGGAATATTTAATCAAATTCGAACTATTTTCCAGTCCTAAGGCCAAGAAAAAGCAAAAACTTCAAATTATGATATGAATTTAATTCAGTCATGGTTGTCAGCAAACAAATTAACTTTGAAGGTTAAGAAGACTAAATACATGCTTATAGGGAGCCAATTTAAGTTATCCCAAATAAATAGTGACTTCACAGTCAAAGTCAATAATACACCATTAGAAAGAGTAATTAAACATAAATCTCTTGGAGTTCAAATTGATGAATCTTTGAACTGGCACCCACACATTAATACCATTTCAAAGAAAATATCCACTGGTATTGCTATCTTAAAACGTGTAAGTCATTTTATACCATTTGATACTAGAGTGAATAATTATGTACAATGCACTGGTAATGCCATATTTTAATTACTGTAGTGCTGCATGGGGTAATATCAATAAGGGACTAGCAGACAAACTTCAAAAGATGCAGAATAGGGCTGCTAGAATTTTCACCTTTTCTAACTATGAGGTTCGCTCAAGTGTTTTGTTGGATGAGCTTGGCTGGGAAAGGCTAGAATATGTAAGACTTAAACCATTGGCTGTGACAATGTATAAAATCCATAATAATCTTTCCCCATCGTATCTGAGGTGGATCTTTCCCAACACCTCTCAAATGTACACTCACACAATCTTAGAAATTCTGAGTTAAATTATTATGTCACCAGACCCAGAACTGAGTCTGCAAAAGGGAGCCTACACTACAGAGGATCTGTTCTGTGGAACACGATTCCCTCAGAGATTAGAAAGCCGCCTAGTTTAAATGTTTTTAAAACTTCATTTCATGGGAAAGATTATCTTAATACACCATGACTCATTGTAACTCTTATTATTAAATTAATAACGTAAGTTTTTGTATTTTTAACTTTAGAGTCAAGCAGTTCCTTAGAGTATTTTAGTCTAATTTTATACACGATTCCTAGGAAGACCATGCAAACATGATACGATTTCGTCTATAAATAAAGATTGATGATGATGATGATGATGAATGCTGCACCTATGCCACTACCCCCCCCCCCCCCCCTCCCCATCTCTCCATTCACACACTGATACCTGCATACACCTTATTCCAAAATGGCGACGACTTTATTATTTTTTTATACTTATGTTACTTAGCCCTCAATGACTCAATTCCAGCTAGAAATTCTTTTGAACTCTCAAGAAGCAATCCAGGCATCGAGGGCCAATCAACATAACCGAGGAATAGCTATAAATGAATAAGAAAATTGTCGCCATTTTGGAAACTTTTGCTTGTGGAATTCGAAATTCTGGGCTTAGCAATAAGGAATACAGCTAAAAATACAAATAAAAAAAAATAAGGGAAACAGATCAAGGAATCCGGAATCCAAGTTCCACTGGCAAAGAATCCGGAATCCAGTACCTGGAATCCGGAAATCCAGAATCGAAGACTTCTTGGGTGGAGAGGCACAGGAATGAACGAGTTATCAAACAGAGCCATAATAATAATTCTGGTTATGAAACACACCCGAGTATAATAGTATAATGTAGTAAATACAGGGGATGGAGGAGTTGGAGGGGCTTAGTCGCTGGCCGAGATGAAGTATATACCGGATCTAATAACGTCGTACTGAATGTAATGTATTACAAAGAACCGAATGTAATGAAGTACGCATTGGAATATGAACAGTCGACTGTATAGTATACGCCGTGTTTCCAGACAAAGCTTAAAGACTCCTTGACAACTTTGCGTGACATATAGGACTGAGGTTCCCGGGGATTCTTCGCGTGACGAGCCAAAAAAAGTCTGAGTTGAATTTACTTACGGTATACCATCAAAGTACTATAAGCGTGTTTCAACGTGTTGACGTACCTGATTTTGGATAGCCGACAATAAAAACGTCATCCGGTCGCGTCTGGAAATTATCAATGTAGTCTCTGAGGAATGCAGGATCACTGGTGAAATAGAACGGTAGCTTTACTCCCAAAATATCATACCATTTCTCGGAAGTCCATTCGCCTTCTGTTAATTGAATAATTGGAAAACTGGCCATGATTCTAAACAATGGGGTTTCTAGAAAACGACGACCAAGTAAGCGACGACCTAGTAAACGACAACCTAGAAAACTACGACCTAGAACTACGACCTAGAAAGCGAAGCGACGACCTTGAAAACAACGACCTCTTTATATTCGCATTTTCTTTGACCCCTTACGTCCTGAATAGGTGCATGAGGAGTCACCATGGAAATACCTGCGTCACATTTGCGTCATATGTAGTGTCAATTGCGAGAAATGTCACGCAAGTCAATGGTCAGGGCACATTGCAATTTCATGGCGTTATTAGTGTTTTTGAGCCACTTTCCTCCGCAGAAGCCCCCATGCAGGCATAATTAAGCTGGAATGGGTGTAAAGCGGCAAGTCTCTGAAAGAATACAGAGGTGAGGGTTACGCGCTAACTGAGCCGTTAAACACACAGGCGGCCCAAACTCACGTTACAAGGGAAAGTTGTAATGTAATTGACATAGGTGACGAGCCGGTGTCGCGTTACAGGCGACCGTTGAAAATATAAGAGACTTTGTATGAGAAATATATTACTGAGATCTGCGAAGGCTAAATAACGCTAAACCTTACTTTTTCTTAAATGAAATGAATAAAAAAGTCTTACCTGCAATCTATTCCACCGTGTGGAAGCGAAACACACATTGATTGCGCAAATTTGTTCGATGGTGCCGAATCACTGCGACGTCGAGAAAAACAGAACCAAGTATCATTGGTATTCTGCTCCATTGTAAGCAGCCCGTGAATAACAAGGGAAAATAAACCCTGCTGTTTCCAAAATATGCTCAAACACAAACAGTTCATAAACATGAACACCACAGAATCTAACTCGTACTGGTCCGTTGCTATCTAAGTCCGTTGAGAACAAGCTGGACGAGTAAACGGTCGTTTCTTCTTGGGCACCCAACGGCAATTTTCGGGAAAATATCTGTTCGGAAGACGATTTGAGATCTAGAATTTTCGGAGCATTTGTTGTAAAATATCTTGCTTGCCTGCCTCTTCTAGGATTTTCGAACATCCACAAAATGGTATAATTACCCAATTTTAACGGATTTTGACCCTAAAAAAGGCCACCTAGAATTTTCGGGAGCCTTTTCCCGGCTGAAATTTTCGAGAAGGTAAGTTTTTATCCCCATAATTTTCGGATCACTAGACTTTCATCTAGGAAATCCGAACAGTTGATAAGTTTTTAGGGGATAAAAATATGCCTATATCTATCGTTTAAATACTAAAATACGTTCAACAATGCTATGTTAAGTGGTTTTGAACTATATCCTCGTTGGGTGCCCCTGTTTCTTATCGTTGTCGTGACTGAAGATAAATACACTATACTTGTGCGAACTACGAGTCGCTATTTCAAGTTCGCGTTAACTTATATATTTTCCTTCCCTTTCGCTATTTGAAACTCGAATAGTTCCAGTGTCGAAATGTCTAAGCAGACGAATAGGAGCGATTTGAATGCCAAGAGCACGGCAGAACTACAGGAACGAGGAGAGTTGGAAGGCTTTCAAATAAGAAAGTGCTTAATTGTGGTGGAAATTCCTGCCTCAGGCGGCTCAGAATAGCCGTTTTTAAATTGGTTCTAATAACAAAACCGGATTTCCTAGCGGAGCCTCCGCGCGCGCTAAGCGCTCTTGGTTTTACAGGATATTTATTTATAATGGCTAGGTCCTTTTGAAGATTTGCGATGCAGCCGCACCTAAATTAAATCACACCGCGTCCGCCGAGACGCACCGACGGTGGCAGTGGTAAAAAACATCTCGAGTTGTATGACTCACAAACATAATAACTATCTGATCACAAAACTGTTGTGCGGCGACCGTTCAGCTCATTATCACGCACACATCCTCCATTTCAATACTCCTGTGCGGTGGACTAACCAATCACGAGCACGTTGTTGCATTTCAAAGCTCCTGTAGAGCGGACCTACCAATAACGCAAGAATTTTTCCTGTCAAAACTCCTGTGCGGTGGACCTACCACTCACGCACAAGTCTTCCCAGTCATCCCGGGTCATCTCTTTCATCTCAGTCATCCCAGGCATCCCAGTTATCCCGTTAACTATCAATTTTTGATATGGCAAATTGAGTTTTGCAATCGACTCCGTTAACTCGAGCCCCCGATGACTCGAACTATTTTTCGTTTCCCTTTAGAGCTCGAGTTACCGGGGTTCTACTGTAGCTGGAAATTTTGAAGCTGGAAATTCATTAGACCTCGCTGTAACAGCGATCGTCGGTTAACATTCGCGGGTAATAGTGCACTGTTACCCTCCGACGTCGTAGATTTTTCAATGTTGTCCGCTCAGAGATTCTGGCGGGAAGCAGTTTCATTGTTACATGTCTTAATTGTGACCTCGAAGTAACCAATGAGAGCTTGAGGTGTTGTTTCCAGGTATATGACAAAAATTAATATTTCCCGGGGATTTATGACGGACCTATTGATATAAAGCCGTAGATACGTTTATTACTACAACATCGTGCCGTTTTAAGATGACTGACAATCAGCAAAGTTAGACTCTTTTACTTTTAAAGAACGCGAAAATAAATTGTCCGTGAGGCAGAGGAAGGGGAAAATGATATCTCAGCAGAGGAGTAGTGTTGATTATTTGGAATGTCAACATTCAATTACGGTCACAAACTCATACCCATATCTACCAAACATCAATCGGCCAACAACAGGCTTTCTTGCAAATCGTACATCTTAACAACAACGAATCAGAAGTGCATTTTTCTCCTAAATCTCAAAATCAAACTTCAATCCGGTGCCTTTGAGTTTTGCCAACACTTCCTTTTCAAATCTCTCATTCAGCTCTGGAGTAAAATAACTCTTCCATCCTCCCACCACGCCCTTTCTTAGCAACGGCGAACTCTGCTCTTCGTTGCTCAACTTGAAACTATTCTCATTTTCCCTCATGCCCTTCAAAGTACACTGCTGCGCAATGCGATCAATGAGTTCATCGGTCAGTGGCTTTTTCAGGAAATCAGCAATCATTCGTACATGGGACGGTAAATCCTACAATTAAGAATTTTTAGAGAAATGGTGAGATGTATAAGACCCATCAAACACATTACGCCAGTAAAACACAAAGATTACATTGTTATATACCTGTCAGCTCTCACGCATTATGCGTGAGTCTCACGCCTGCGGACTAAAGACATCGATGTCACGCATCACGGACAATTTTCCTACGCCTGACTCACAATCTGTACAAATTATTCTTTAACACGTAAATATTAACCAAAAATTAATTCAGTTTCCACGATAATCATATTGCTGTGCTAAGGGCATAAAACTGGAAGCTGGACTCTGGCATGGTTTGAATAGCTCCCCCATAAACGTACCCTGCAAGCTGAGTCTCCTTCGATCTTCCAAGATAAGTCGGTACTTATCTAGGAAGATCGAAGGAGACTCTGCTCGCAGGGTACCATTAACGTGGCATTTCCTACTTTTTTAAAAAAGAGCTACGCCATACAGCGTATGGGAACTGACCACGAAAGTTAGTGATCTAACCATAAAAATTACCATTTGTCACTTAGTACAAAACAAGGTACACATGGGTCCCCGGGGGGAGGGAGGTACTTAGGTTATTTTTTTTGTTGAGTATGTGCCGCTGGTCTCCAAGAGCCCCTACCCCAATATAGTCTATTCTGTGGCCAATTATAGACCCCATATTAGTCACTTTTGGGAAAATATGTAATTTTCGCGATCCCAACTTACTCACTTTCTATTTTTTTGAAATGACCCAATTTTTAGATTGAATGAAGAACAGAAAGAACACTTTAATTTTTAGCTGCAGTACAAACATTCTGGTGCGTTTGCTTACTGTAAATATGAAGTCTATCTTACCCGTCCAAAAATCCGAAAATGTGCGGCCCCATTCTAGTAACTCTATTGAAAATGCCCCATTCTAGTCAACCCAGTTGTGAAAATGCGACCCCACCCATTGGTACATCTCCATTAGCCTCTTATATGGAAGTATCCCCCATCCCGACATGGATACATTTACCGAGATAAAAATTGGGTTTTCCAGTATTAATATTGCCGGTATTTTCAGAGTTAATCTCAGTTGGTTATAAAAAAAAATGCTAGGGAGACAAATTTGTCAATCGACCATTTCTTATTTGGATGAGCACGATTATCAGTAGCACCAAGACTGGTTAGTGTATTTCCAGTCAAAACGCTATTCCGTTGGTGGTCCGATCCAATGTCAATCAACTGTTTTTCATTAGCTTGAGTAGCTAGCAGGAGCCGGTTTTTTAAGGGAGAAGGGAGAATTCCCCACTCCAGCAACTATAATGGACTCAATCTTTCGGCGCAACGATTTCTGGTATCGTTTCGGTGGACAAGCGTTAGTTATGATTGGTTGATGGCAGGAGCCCATCAAATTTGATAGGCTCCTGTTGATGGTTGCCTTGAATACCATCGACCAATCATAACTAACGCTTGTCCTCCTAAACAATCCCAGAAATCGTTGCGCGGAAAGTTTGAGCCCATTCCCCTTATAGAGGGTTTCAATGGGGTTAACCGATAGGCGTAAAACGGCCAAAAATTTAGCCGATAGCCGTAAAAATTGAAAGATTTTAACCGTTAGCCGTAAAAAGGATAAAAAAGAGTTAACCGTAAAAGAAAGTGCTCCCTAGATTTGCTACTTTTAAGGAAGGTACTAAACTCACTTATGGTTGCGTTTTTTATTTCCCGGCTAGTGTGACTCCGTACGCACATTAGGCGAAAAGCCTTTTAGGAGTTAACCAAGACCTAGGCTCCATTTCCGGCGCTCTCTCGAAGATCAAACTAACTAGCGAAAGTGTAGCTTCTTGCTGGGGATTAATATTTGCAATTTTCCAGAGGTCGTGCCCTCGAAACACAAGAGGAACAAGACGCAGAGATGTCACTGTTTGTAAAACACGTTGCCGATAAACAACATTTCCCTGTTTTTCTCTGACGCTACGGTAGACATGGCCATGCCTAGTCCCCGTACGGCGTATACCCACGCAATCTCGGTCAAGGCATTTCGGTGGCGAACTCGCTCGGACCGCGTGACCCGAAACGCGTTAGCCGCGCGGAATAATGTGGCCTACGGACAAGGCAACGGTAGACAATCGTTCCGTACAGTCCTTCACTATCATTAAAAACACTGGACACGGGAATTTTGTTATTGGCCGTTTTCACACTATAGCTAGAAATGGATCATCCGTCTGAGACTAGCCTGTGTACAGTCGCGTTCTCCCCACAGACACTCCTTCTCCGATTTTTTCTGAGCGGAGGGGGCGGCTGTACACAGGCTATGTGGAACGGATAATCCCGTCTTCAAAAGTCAGGCGGATTGTTCATTCAAAATTAAAACTATTCCATTTTCAAGTTAAGACATATTACCTATATGACGCGAATCATCAAACGGATAACCCGTCTCACACGAATAATCCTTCTCTAGTGTGAAAACGGCCATTTCTGTTATAATGAATGTCGCGCCCCGGCCTTGATTTGGCGTTCGCGTGTCTGCTTTTGCTTTTTCACAAAGATTATTTTTAAATTGACTATTGACATTTCTATGTGTAAAATAATATTAGAAGTGGAATACTTTATAAAAAGTATGATCTATCAAATCTTAAAATTTTTCAAAAGAATAGCTTATTTCATCCCGAGATGATCCGAAGACCCTTATTCAAAAAAATACAGGTTAATTAATATTTAACTTTTTGAAACAAAAGAAGTTAATTTTTAACTTTTTCGTTAACCGTAACTGAAAAAAATTAACCGATAGCCGTAAAAGCCACCACCCCATTGAGACCCTCCTTGTAGTTTCTGTAGTGAGGAATTTCGAGGACGCCGCGCTGGCACATGTTCCCCTCGCGCACGCTCTAGAAAAACTAACCAAATAAAACAAACCACGCCACGCAGTCTAATGAAGTCATTTGCCGCTGCTGCACAGTACCTTCTGTAAATCTTCATATTTGAGAAACAAGATATTAGGATCGTCTCTGTGTTTCCACCAGTCAAGAACATGGTCATTCCAAGCGTTCCAACACACTGTTCAACAAAAAAATACCGGTAAACAACCAAAGAATGTGACGTTCCATAAAATACAGTAAAGCAAGTCATTAGACAGCTGCGTTATTTTCAACGGCCTAACAGCCGAATGGAAGGCTTCCACAGTGAAACCCAACCAATGGACATTGTTTTTGTTCCCTTTAAAGCAAAAAAGGGATCTGTCAAAAATTGTCATCCTCGACCGCCTTTGACTCTGCCCGTGTCATGAACAACAGAAAAGAGCTCCTGGCCCCGGTTGTTCAAACGTTGGATCGGATAAATCAGTATCCAGCGGATAAGTATTGTTATTAGAGAAATCAATTGCGTTATCTACTGGCTAAAGATCTATCCATCGGATAGCGCTTACCACCTTTTGAACAACTGGCTGGAGTATGTTTGCGACTTGAAAAAGCTTTTTAAAGTGCGCACGCTCGATGGGTGACGAGATCTTGCAACAAAAAATTTTAATGTTAATATTCTGCATTTCAAGTACAGAAAAGACCCATCTCATTAACTCAACTTACCATTTCCTTCTATGAATAACTTGGCATAAAATTCCCATGGCCCACTGAAACCATTACCCGCTTTTCGCCTATGCTCCGTGAAATGAAAGTACGATACTGCAATGTCTTTGGGATTGCGGGCCACGTAAATATATTTGCACTGCATTTCCTTATTATCACTTTTCGGAATGCTGTGAAGCGGAAGATGACTCTTAAGAAGGCGAGGGCTTGGTAAAGTGTCCAGGCTAAACGGGCAAATCATTTCATTGGTGGCTGTTTCAATAAATAGCACTCGATGAGAAAAGTTTGCACTGCTGACTGCCCCCTCGTGATAGATTTGCCAGACAATTTCTTGCACCCAAGTTGTCCCTGAAGGAAAATAATAGATACAGAAATTTTGTGAATATACAGTCAAACCTATTATTCGAGCAAACCTCTATTTAGCGGTCACCTACCTGAGTCCCGGAAATCATTTCCCTCAGTTTACAGCTGTTTCGAGAAGAAAGGTTGTCGGAAAAAATGTCCACGCTACAATCCCGAAAGTTATTATGGGATATGATCAACACACTCTTCCTAACACTGTACTGTAGCTTTCGAACCTACTTTTGTTGCTTTCCTTTAGCTCTCGCAAACATACGTCCATGACCTCTCGTGCCATTCTTTCAAATTTCTTTGAAGAACAGTGAGCTCAAAACCACACACAATACCTTTCGGGATTGTCTCGCGCACTTTTTCCGACAACTTTTCTCGAAATAGCTGCATACTGTAAATCTGACCTGTATTAAGTCTCCTTTATTAAGCAGTCGCGGTCACTTTTTCCGAGGTCCCAACTAGTTACTTTTCATTGTCTTCACCTATAAGACGCCGTAACATACATACTAGTGCAGCAGGTATGGTGTGAATGGCGTTCATGGTCTCTTACTTCCATTTTCAGCACAAGAAGAGGTAGTGGCACTTCGGGGTCGTTTCGTTGTGGGATAGATATTTTGCTCTTTTACCAACTTCATTTTTTTGAACAACTCTTCGGTTTGTCAAACCTGTATGAAGCGGTCAATAAGCCAGTCCTCAAGGGTGACCTCTTAATACAGGTTTCATTGTATTATATTTAACAATTATTCCTCGAGCCCGAATGGGGTCTGAGTGAATAGCTCACGAGGCCGAAGGCCGAATGGGCGAGAGGAATAATTGTTTTAGCAAAATCCAACTAGTTGGTCAAAACTATCGAGACAAAACGCAGAAAGCGATTCAGCCACCATAGTTTTGGATTTCAACGCCGGCGCTTTTCTTTACAAGTGGGTTATGACATGTAGCCTAGAAATAGCTTAGCCAGTAGGCTTGTAGGGCATATCAAGTGTTTACTAGTACTTGATATTCCCTACAAGCCTACTTTAGTTTTTTGTACTGCCCACTCTAGACTTCATAGGCAAATTGTGAAACTTGCTACTTTGCGTGACGGGGTGGCTTTGGTGACACTTGTGAACGTTATAGGATTGACGCCATATAATCAAAATATAACAGATAACATTTATATAATATTTAACAAGCATTATAGCATAACAAAGAATAAGGTTACCTGCTTGTTCGTTCTCTTTTTTTTGGAAAAGAATTGGGGGTATGATCGCGTGATCGCCGGACTACAGGACCGCAGGGTCGCCATTCACGTGAGGTTACGTAATCGTTTTGGAACCAAATGACACTGCTTCAAGGTGAATCAAAGTGGGAAATTATTTGTACCATTTTGCTTATTTCGGTTCACTTTAGGTCACTCGAGACGAGGGCCGAGGCAAACTACCATATCGCAAAGCTCTTTTACTGCGAGTTTAACTTCTTGACGTACCTGATTTGGGATATGTGGCTACAAAAACGTCATCAGGTCTCGTCTTAAAATTAAAAATGTAATCTCTGAGGAATGCGGGATCGCTGGTGAAAAAGTTTGGAAGCTTCACCCCCAAAATATCATACCATTTCTCGGACGTCCACTCGCCTTCTGTTAATTGAATCACTGGGAAACTGGCCATGACATTAAACAACACGCATCTATTTAGTACTACCGGCGACACGATGTTTTTCCCTGAGGGAGTTGATGGCAGCAACCAACCGTGAAATTGATATTCAACTACGGCACTCCGTTATTTTTGTGACGTCACGCAACACTCCTCCCTTTACGCTACGCTCTTCTTGAAAACGCTTCGAAGCTAACATGCGATCAGGCGGTATTTCTTCCCTTTTTATTGGAGGCGAGGAGAAAAGAACCTTTTTTCACTTTTGCTGTCCGTCCGCCGACTTTCGCGCAACTTTGGAATGACTGGACGTCGGAATATCATCCTCGTAAAATTGCTCAATAGATGAGGCTGACCTAGGTTGAATTATTAAAACCCATTAAAATCTATGCAGTTGGAAAGTTGTGTCTTTAATTTACAAATAGTCATTCGCTATTATCATTTCCAAGATACTGTACTTCCTCGAATCATCGCTGAGGATTCGAGGGAAGGCGATTAATTCAAATATTGCTCACTGAAAGTCGTGCCCTAAATATTCTGTTTTATCATCCCATTGTTCCCAAGGGAACATGGGCTTTATAAGGAAGAGAAGATGGCGAGAGGGGTTGGAGGGACAATCAGTCGAAGGGAGGAGATTATTTTAAATATTTCCGTCAAAGGGGGGCGATTATTCGAAGAAGGAGACTAATCAAGGGACGGCTATTACTGCTATTATTCGGACGAGGAAATACGGTAATCTGCAGTGGACCGTTGCAAGGAAGAATTCGAACGAGCTGTAAGAAATTTAATAGGCCAGGCCCTTAGCAGCTGCTCGTTCACGTGGAATAAAACCGCCGTGCTGGAGAGCTGAGCAAGGACGTACTGGGATAAGACAAACAAAAGGCTCACCACATTTAAAATTGTATCTTAATTTGTTTGTCTTCTCTCAGTGTGTTGCTAGCTCTCCACCTTGACGGTTTTGTAACGAGGGATTTTTTGGGTTAAATATTTTTGATTTAGGGACTTTATTGAGTTGGAAAAATTTTGGCAAGAATTATTTTGGGTAGCTTGACTTTAGGTGTTATATCATTTAATGCTTTCTGGAAATTTTTATGGCTCGGAAATTCGCCAGAGGAATTTTTTGGGGTTAAATTTTGGTCCAGGGAGTTTTTGGGGTTTTGTTTGAGGCCCAAGGGTTTTTTGGGGGGTACCGGCCTCCCTCTTCCCTGGGGACAAAGGCATGGGACGGTCACATAAACACGCGACTCACGTGTGGTAAGTAGGATGACTAACGGAAGGAAATGAATTGAACCATTCTCAATGTTATCTTTCTGATTCAACGACTCTTTTAAAAGGCAGGATAAGTAAGTTCAAGTGAGGACATGTTGTCAGGGAAAAAAACCGTTCACTTTGTTCGCCACTTTCAATCTACGTGGAACGAGACAGAAGAGAAATTCAAATTGACGCGCCTTGACAAGAGATTGCAGAGCGAGGAGTTTGTCGATGCTCCATTGAGCGCCTTTGGCGACGAACAGGCTGACTCGATACGACAAAAAATACAAGATTTGAACGCAGAAGTTGCCATTACTTCCCCTTTGAGGAGGGCAATCGAGTCCTGTATTCGGTCCTACGGAGATCAAAACGTTCTTGCTTCACATCTGTGTGCAGAGATAGGAGAATCGCTTTGCGACATTGGAACTATGAAAGAAAACCTTGTGAAGATGTATCCGTCCATTGATTTCAGCAATTTGCCTTCTAACGTTTGGTGGTTTGTGGAAGAAAAGCTGAAGGGTCAACTTACAGATCCAAAAAAGTGCTACGATTTTGTCTTAAACAACGGAACTTTCAAGTTGGGAGAAACCTTTACTGGCTCTCATTTTCAGGGAAGAATCGAGAGATTTTATGATTTCCTGCAAAGCCAGCATGAGTCAAATATCGTAGTTTTTTCACACAGTGGGTTTTTGAGAAGCTTCCTTTTTAAATATTATGGGCGACCATTTACGCAGACCATTCAAAATGGAGAGATTTTAACGTACTCTTTGTAAAGTTTTACTTCATGTAATAGAAGAATTTTCTTATCAGGTTTTGTTTATGTTCTTTTAATGTTTCGCTTAATTCCGTTCACTTTGCTTCGAGCTATTCAGTTTAAATAGTGACATAGGCGCTGCTTGTGGCCAAGGTGCGTTTGACCGCCGTACCATTCTATCCCATAGTTTATATACGGAATCACTGTGCTCCCAAATGAAATTTACGAAACAAAATTTAAAACTGTGTCCAAGTCTATGACTTTGGATTCAACTCTCAATACGAACTGATCATATATTACAGGCTTTTAGTGTAGTAAGATGTGGCTTGTTTTCATTAAATTGTTTGTTTAAACTTACAAAAATGATTCAGCGATCTGTTGTTATACGGCATTTTCAAGATCAAATGCTCACATTAAATCAGAGCGAAGAAAATCACGCCAGGACTTATGGGATCGTGTTTGAAGAGAAAGGGAAAAAACGGGAAAAAAGGGCGCTTGAATAATTTTGGGGCACCCAACGTCACTTTTCGGAAAATATCTGTTGGAAAGACGATTTAAGATCTAGAATTTTCGGAACATTTGTTGTAAAATTTCTTGCTTCCCTGCCTCTCCTAGGATTTTCGAACATCTAAAAAATGGTATAATTGCTCATTTTTAACGGATTTTTACCTTAAATCGGGAGCCTTTTTTCTGGCGGAAATTTTCGAAAAGATAACTTTTGACACCTATAATTTTCGCATTACCAGACTTTCAGCTAGGAAATCCGGAAAGATAAAAAATTTTGAGGGGATAAAAATATGGCTATATCTACCGTTTAAATACTAAAATACGTTTAACAATGCCACCAGTTAAGTGGTTTTGAACTATATTCTCGTTGGGTGCCTCTGATAATTTTGCACCTCATCTGTGAGGCCAGGCGGGACTGAGTATACAAGCTGAAAAGGGGCTTTCTTCTATGGGATATGAGACACGCTTTCTATACTTGGTTTATTTTGCTATAAACTTTCTGAATTAAAGGCAATGAGTATGGGTTTTACTGGCCACCTTCAAAACGGATGACATAATAATTATAATAAATTAAATCTAGCTTTTTTGAAACCGCTTCTGCTTTAATTGCGCTTAAGAAAATTCCCCCTTATAGCTGGCAGGAGTTTCTTAAATTATGAGTACAGATGAAAGTGAATAAGACGAAATTTGAACGAACGTTATACCACATGACCACCACTGGGAAAACAAAACCGTGGAAGCTTTCAAAAAAACCTATATGGGATTTCCTGCTTTGTTTTTTCTTTTGAGCCTTTTTCCAATTGAAGCTTTTATGCATGTGGGCGCTTAGCTCTCTCCTCCGCAGAGGCCCTGGGAGAGAAAGAAAAAGAGAGCGCGCGGGGCACGATGGGAAGGGGAAGAGAGAAGAGAGGCTCCCGCGTTTTCCCTCTTCCCATCCTTGCCCGCGCGGTTTCTATTTTTCGATACCCAGCGGGAGCTTATGCGAGGAGAGTTGGCGCTTAGTATAGTATCCCCCCTCGAGCTTACAATACAACGCAATTACACTTTATTTTAAATACCCACTCTACATCTAGGAGTGATTAAAAACTCGTTAAATCATGTGTATGAAAGTAAAACAATTAAAAAAAAAAGGAACTGAGAAAAAGAAAGAAAAAGCAATAATTTAAAATCATCTATCTATATAAAAACAGCTAGTAATAATTTTGATACATATAATCTAAAATTAAATTAATCTATGTTCAAACAGAATTAAAATTTACAACTAATCACTGCTAGAATTAAAGAATATGATAATTTAAAAGACGCGTAAAAGTGAAAATGTCCTTAACTAGCCTGCGAAAACATCCGTTTCTCCTCGCTCTTCGCCGTTGGGACTTTTCGAGAAACGGATGTTTTCGCAGGCTAGTCTTTAACGTTTCTAACATACGTAGGTAGAGAATTCCAAAGTTTTGCTGCCAAAAATGAGAATGATTTATGGCGACATTCTAGATTAAAATTGGCTAACGTTTAAGGCGTCCTTAATCATTATACTAGCCTGCGTAGCAAGCGTTTCCAATCGAGTTATTGTGCGAAAGTCAGAGAGGAAACGCTTGCTACGCAGGCTATTGTTATTCTTAATTACTAATACTTTATCTCTGTAAGAGGTGTGTCATTGTACGACGCAATATTGAGAAACCACGCCAAATACAGTCAATTGACTCTAGCCTGCGTGGTGCCCAGGCCTTGAAGAAGAAGGGACGGAAGGGGAAATGGAGTGCGCACGTAGTACGCAATGGCTGTGCAAAAAAGGAGGGAAACGAACCTTTCCCCCTTCGCCGCGAGTTTTTTTTGTTGCTGTTATTGTTGTTTTTTGTTTTGACACTTTATTGGGGTAAGAATGAAATTATGATATAATTTACAAGAAGACATATCATTAATGAAATAAAAGTAATTAATTATAGTTATGAAGAATAATTAAAAACAATTGCTGATCCCCAAAGAGCAAGTGCAAACGAGACCCTAGACCCATGCAAGGCACCGCCCTGTTGTTAGTTACAATTACGATTTCAATTTTAATGCTGCTGAATAGCTCATTTACCCTTGAAAAAAAATTAATTCAAACCCTAGATGTACGTTAACGACAAAAGTAAACAAAAAAGTGGTTGGCACAGTCACTTCGACATGTGACAGGGACAGGTTATCATTAATGTCCACGTGCAAGATCTTTCCACCTCATTAGTATTAACCAGAGTGGTGAACACAGTTTTATAAACAAACTGCTTAAAAGGTTGCTTACTAGAAGAACTACTAGGGGACTTAAGTGAACAAACAAAATATCATAACTTAGTAACACGATTAAAATAGGAAGCCTTAAAAGTACTGGTTCTGCAAAGAGGAGTTTTAAGATTGAAAGGATTACTTTCAAAGTAGACAGACTGCAAATTATCTTAGTTGCTAAAAAATATAAATCTAGGTGTCGGAACTGTTCATCAGTAGGATGCCTAAAATGCGTGCAATTCCACAATTGGTTTCGGCTCCATTAAATCCTATACCAATTGCAGAACATTTTAGGAGGAGCCACCCACCATGTGAGCACAGTCACGGACAAAGTAAAATTAAGACGTTAATAAACGAACTAAATGTACACGTCAATTAAATAAATAAACAAATAATGCGCGCGCTCAAAATAAAATTGTACACGCACACGTACCGAGATACATCTGGTTCGGCCGTGAGAAATAAACGATGTATATTCAAGAACATTTTTTAATGTCAGTAGAGCCAAAGAGACATTTTTTCATCCCCTTCTCGCGTACTTTCCCAACGTACAGGTCCTTAGTTTACCTCGGTAACTCCTCGTAACAGTAAACTGGCAAACCTGAGGTTACCGGTGCGCATTTTACCCCCTCGACTCTCCATTAGTGTTCCCATTTACAGGTATTTTAAGGAAAGAAGTCGAAAGAAGGATTTGAGGTCACACCTAGGAACTGAACTCGAAACTTCCGGCACAGAAGGCCGCGCACTAACCAATTTTTCTCCCCTCTTCTTCAGACTGAGTCACCTCTTGCTCTACAAAAATCTCGTTACTGTGGACAACCCAATAGTACGCTGGGAGCAGCCTAAAACTTGGCTAAAGAGAAGCCGGGAAAGAGGGTCGAGCGTTCATATGAGAAAAAAAGTTGATCTCTTTGCCAGAGCTAAGAGCGCCGCTGGCGCATGCTCTGATTGTCTCGTCTTGTCCGAGTTGACTCGGCTTGGCGAACCAATCGAAACCAAAGTGTTTGTATGGAGAATTAAGTTGGCCTGGCTAGGAAGATGAACCTACCATCGAAAAAGGGGGACTTACTTGACTGGGCGGGTCACCCCTCTAGCCAAGCCAGCGTTTTTTTTTCTCTCGTAAAAGATTCGTCATGTTTTGTAAGGAAATGTATGAAAAGGTGGATCTAAGCCTAGGTTAGCTCCGGTGGCGCGTGACTCTTCTACCTAGGACATATTTTCTCCATATTAACGGGGTTCAAAATAAACCTCCGTCATTATCGACTCTGGCAATTACAGACTTGTAGCCAGCCGTTCCTGCATCACAATTTCATTTTCCTAGCTAGTGGTACTGTTTATTATAATGTGGAGTCTATTTACAATCACCTATTTTTCAGTGCGATTGTCGAGATCGAATGGTTCAGCTGTAACAGGCGACCATATGTTTCAAATCATAATGCAACCCCTCTCGTTTAAGTAACAGCGCTCGATCTCGATGTCAACGATCTTACGCAAAAACAGGGGACTGTGAACAGTGTCTCAAAATGAAAGATGCAATCCATCGTACAGCGTTTAAGGCCTGCATGTGTACAATAAACTCTTTTGTAGGTTATGCTATAGTCAAGATGAAGACCAGCAGTGTGTGGTCGAAACGGGCCTATATTTATCTTGCGATTGACTATACTACTCAATGTTGCGTATCAACGGAAATCGTTGTCAATATAAATACCCTCTTGTGTTAATTTATGTTACTCCTCTGATGGACTCTCGCTCCTGACTCATAGTCCCGAGGGTCACCCGAAACAAGGCGAGTTGATTGTATTACGAACTTTCGCTTTTTAGGACACACACTCGTGATCCCGAGGGTCATCCGAAATAAAGGAAGTTGACTGTATTACGGACTCTGGCTATTAAGGACGTAAACTTGCGGTTTCGAGGGTCTCCGCAATAACGGGAGTAGTCAGCCTATGATTTATTAAAAATTCGAAAATGTGACTTGTTTCCATTGTCGATCCTGCGCAGCGTTCTCGTGTGACCGACACATGTGACCAAGGGGAGAAAGCAGGGGCGACATTGAGAATACACCCTTAGAAGCTGATTTATCTTTTATATTATATAATATAAATGAAAACAAACTCAAACTTGAACAAAATGTGTTATATTTCTCTTATAGAAAAGCTAATTACAAGTTTTCGCCTTAAAAAAATTAAGATTGGCCAGGTTTTGGGAGGGGTATTCGGTCATGAATCTTTCACTTGAAATTGATACAGCTCTGCAAGTTCATAAATAGTTTTCAAATGAATTGTTTCGTATCATGGCCCTACCGATCAAATTTTCTGTAAATAATTCATCTATAAATGCAAACGTAGTTTAGTATTACTTCCGTATAAATAGTATCTGGAAACGAATAGAATACTTTAATCGGATATTGAGTATACTTTACACTATATTTATTCCAGATTGAGGTATCTTGAGAGATGTTGATTATTTTCGCTCTGACTTTTTCGTAGTAGGATAACTGCATATTTTTAAATCTACACGTCCTACCCAACTTGGCCGACCCAAAATACTAAGATGAGCATCTCATTTCTAAACTGATTTTTCGCTGTACACGTTAAAAACAATAACAAATGAAATCTATGAGCTCTCATAAAACTGGAAGTCAATTATTTAATACTCATTCTAGCTGGGAAGGTTCACGCGAAAACAACTCATCACATGGTCCGTTCAAGAACAATTGGTTGTAGAGCGGATTGTTAGAGGGGCTTACTGTCACGCATCTACTATCTTTTTGAAAAGATAAAACGTCTGTTTGCATCAATAAAAAATTCCAAAAATAATGGTATAGTTTTGTTATTTTTAAAGACTAAATTTGCATTGAAACTGTTCCCTGTCTTCTGTTGCTATGGATAGCAAACAGTAAAACTGCAGTAAAATATGATAGCACTTGATCCTGTCTCAGCAAAGCGACGCAGTGGGGATGCCGGATGGTGAAGACGATTCCAAATGTACATCGGAAATCCATCTATTTCTTTCGTTGGCCTGCAATGGATTCAAGACAGCAACAACCAAGTTAGTCTCCTCTACTTTGTAAAGGTAGGGTGCCTGGGCGCTTAATCCCTTAAATAAGCTCTATAGTTACCGTAAACCCTCTGTCAGGCCACCCGGGGGGGTTATTTATTTCAAACACATTTGTTAGGGGGCTTAATAGAGACGGGGGCTTATATAATTTAGCAAAGACGATGGCATCAGTTCTTCGTGAAGAACTAGAACTTCAAAGTGTAAAAGCTCAAGTACAATGGTTGTAGGTCATGCAGCCGAGGATGCAAAAACAAATTCGAACGTCCTGCTTGGGAAATAAATACAGTATATCATTTATTAGTGAAGAATAATAAGGGGAGGGGAGGGGGAATTGGGGCTCATTAACCTTCTTTCCCTGATAAAGTAGGGCTTATTAGAGAGGGGGGGGGGGGGGGGGCTCAATAGAGGATTTACGGTTTGTGTGGCCCAAGGAATATGGATTCTCTTGTGAAATTGGGTATGGATTTTAGGTCCGAAATTAGGTAAGCCTAAAATTTTTGCCCCCTGGAAGAAAGGCCTGGAATTGGGTACGTTTTTATTCATTTGACTTTTGAAAGAAGCGGTTTAGGTCTCAGAAGCAGGAGAGGAAAAAACACTTTGCCGAGTTTTCTAGGAGTACCCTCAGGGGGCGAGAATTTGTCCTGCTCACAATACTATTTCTTCGTGCAGGTGTTAATTCTTGAAACCGTGAATAATTCTTAAACTGAACATGAAAGGAAATGCTTTTTAGAGGTCGAACACAAGTGCAAACTGTAATGGTGATAGAATCTGAAGTATTAACGGCTTAGAGATGAACTGAAATCTCTTAAGATTGATTCGCTTATGTATTTGTTTTATATTTTATTGATTCTTTTTTTACCTATGAATAAAAGGCTTAGGTCTCAGGTGTGAAAATTCGAATGAAGCTAGATCTTCGTTTCCCATTTTGTGGTTTATTACATCAGTTGTACAAAGTGTTATTCTTATTCTGTCGATCTGCGGATTAAATGACTACTTTTCAGTGGGGTTCTTTGTTTCTCAATCGCACTTCACGGAAAATAAAAGGCTTCCTCTCCAAACAATCAGGAGCTAGAAATCTAAAAGCTAAAGGTGAAAGCCCTTTCACTTCTCAGAACTATAAACATGCAATTATTTTTCTATCTTATCTTACAGTGAGGACCTCACCTTTCATTGGCCAAAATTCAATGTCACGTCATCACCAATCAGAAAGAATGGCGCCCAGTGCTTCACGGCATTGAATTTTTCCGACTCCCGCATCCTTTTCATGGCCTGATGAAGTGACTTACTTGCACTTTGCCCTGCTACTAAATATTCGTAAAAGTGTGTCATAAAAGTAAGAGTGGCTTCGTCATCAATCGCCCACAGTGTCGCAATAACAGAACGCGCACCGGCTCCTAAAAAGGCACGTGCAATCCCAACCACACCTTCTACTTTGATCTTTCCTCGACCACTGTTGCAGCAGCTCAAGACAACAAGCTTGGCGTGCACTTTTGCATCCAACACATCTGCCATCGTCAAAAGAAAATCTTTCTCTTTAGGTCTTTGGGCACTAGGAATATTAGGAGACAAAATAATTTCTCCAGTTTCTGTACGACCATGTGCTGCTATGTGCACTAACGAAACTGAGTTCAGCCCGCTTAAAACCCGATCTTTTGTAGCGTTCTTTCCAGTGAGAGGCTCGATGTTTAGAATCTGTCCAATCATTTTTACCTCTTCCTCAGCACCTGGAAGCTGCGGAAACGGTCTGCAGCCTTTGATACGTACAGTTTCCACCCACGGGTTGCCAACAAGTAGAGCCCCGGATGAACTATGGCGACCCTCCGGACATTCTGCCAGCAGCCTTAAGCTTGTCAATGATGCAATCAATCTAATCCTAAGCGTTTCAGATAAATACCTGGAATTTTGGTCCACAAGGGCAGCATACGGAACAAAGAACGATGAACGGTCGGGGACAATAACGAGTTCATCACCCTCTATCGAGTGTGAAAACGGAGCGATAAATATGTCGTACAATACTTTTAAAGCACCACCCTGGTCTTCAATCTCTTTCCGGGAGCGAATCTTTTTCCACAAGCTTTTGTTCACACCAATCTGCTTGTATGTTTGGTAAGTCATTAATGTCAAGTCATAACTGCTAACTCTCCCTTGCACAAAGCCATACAGCTTTCCCCCCTTTAACAGCATCCAGATATTCACCGACTGGGTATCATTCATTAGATATAACGTGGGTGACGAAATAGGGTTTAAAATGATAAGTTCCGCCTGCTGTTTCGACAGCGAACAGATTGATTTCCTGACGCCATATTGCGATTCCAAGAGGTCCACGAGAGCTTCTGCTCGTCCCCTCTCAGCTGTTAAAAGCACCTCGAGTGTCTTACGTTCAGTGCGTTGTTGTAATTGAAGTCTCACTAAACGACTAACGCAATCACGTCCATTCCGAAAGCTGATTTTCCACTCGTCGTTTCCTTCAAGGAGGACTCTCATTTCCTCTACCAGTTCAATACAGGATTTAAAACACTCCTCGGCTTTGGAGTAGTCGCCAAGAAGCCAAAGAACATGACCAAGGCTATAATATCCAAGTTGTTCTACATCTTTGTTTCCAGTCTCGATTGCTATACTTCTGGCTAGCTGACAAGATTCCCTTGCTTTTTTGAAATCACAGTGATGTACATAGAAACTACCGAGATTGATATATATAGCTCCTTCTGCATCTTTGTTCCCAGTATCTTTTGCGATTCTTAGACTCAGCTGATAAAGCTCCATCGCCTTTTCCAAATCACCGAGACACTGACGGACATTGCCAAGGTTGTTATATAAAGCTCTTTGTCCATCTTTGTTTCCAGTATCTTTTGCGATAGTTAGAGCCAGCTGATAAAACTCGATTGCTTTTTCCAAATCCCTGAGAGACTGATAGGCGTCCCCGAGGTTGTTATATATAGTTGCTTCATGATCTTTGTTTCCGGTATCTTTTGCGATTCTTAGAGCCAGCTGATGGAACTCGATTACTTTTTTCAATTCACTGAGAGACTTATAGGCAGTGCCAAGGTTATTATATATAGTTCCTTCTTGGTCTTTGTTTCCAGTATCTTTTGCGATTCTTAGAGCCACCTGATAAAACTCGTTTGCTTTTTGGAATTCACTGAGAGACTGATAGGCAGTGCCAAGGTTGTTATATATAGCTGCTTCTCCATCTTTGTTTCCAGTATCTTTTGCAATTCTTAGAGCCAGCTGATGGAACTCGATTGCTTTTTTGAATTCACTGAGAGACTGACAGGCACTGCCTAGGTTGTTATATGCAGTTGCTTCTTGATCTTTGTTTCCAGTATCTTTTGCGATTCTTAGAGCCAGCTGACAAAACTCGATTGCTTTTTTGAATTCACTGAGAGACTCATAGGCAGTGCCAAGGTTGTTATATACAGTTGCTTCTTGATCTTTGTTTCCAGTATCTTTTGCGATTCTTAGAGCCAGCTGATAAAACGCGATTGCTTTATTGAATTCACTGAGAGACTTATAGGCGAGGCCAAGGTTGTTATATATAGTTGCTTCTTGATCTTTGTTTCCAGTATCTTTTGCGATTCTTAGAGCCAGCTGATGAAACTCGATTGCTTTTTTGAATTCACTGCGAGACTTATAGGCGAGGCCAAGGTTGTTATATATACTTCCTTCTCCATTTTTGTTTCCAGTATCTTTTGCGATTCTTAGAGCCAGCTGATAAAACGCGATTGCTTTTTTGAATTCACTGAGAGACTGATAGGCACTGCCAAGGTTGTTATATATAGTTGCTTCTCGATCTTTGTTTCCAGTATCTTTTGCGATTCTTAGAGCCAGCTGATGAAACTCGATTGCTTTTTTGAATTCACTGAGAGACTCATAGGCAGTGCCAAGGTTGTTATATACAGTTGCTTCTTGATCTTTGTTTCCAGTATCTTTTGCGATTCTTAGAGCCAGCTGATAAAACTTGATTGCTTTTTTGAATTCACTGAGAGACTGATAGGCACCGCCAAGGTTGTTATATACAGTTGCTTCTTGATCTTTGTTTCCAGTATCTTTTGCGATTCTTAGAGCCAGCTGATAAAACGCAATTGCTTTATTGAATTCACTGAGAGACTTATAGGCGAGGCCAAGGTTGTTATATATAGTTGCTTCTTGATCTTTGTTTCCGATATCTTTTGCGATTCTTAGAGCCAGCTGATGAAACTCGATTGCTTTTTTGAATTCACTGCGAGACTTATAGGCGAGGCCAAGGTTGTTATATATACTTCCTTCTCCATTTTTTGTTTCCAGTATCTTTTGCGATTCTTAGAGCCAGCTGATAAAACGCGATTGCTTTTTTGAATTCACTGAGATACTGATAGGCACTGCCAAGGTTGTTATATATAGTTGCTTCTTGATCTTTGTTACCAGTATCTTTTGCGATTCTTAGAGCCAGCTGATAAAACTCGATTGCTTTTTTGAATTCACTGAGAGACTGATAGGCACTGCCAAGGTTGTTATATATACTTCCTTCTCCATGTTTGTCTCCAGTATCTTTTGCGATTTTTAGAGCCAGCTGATAAAACTCGATTGCTTTTTGGAATTCACTGAGAGACTGATAGGCACTGCCTAGGTTGTTATTTATAGTTGCTTCTTGATCTTTGTTTCCAGTATCTTTTGCGATTAGAGCGAACTGATAAAACTCGATTGCTTTTTTGAATTCACTGAGAGACTTTTAGGCAGTGCCAAGGTTGTTATATATAGTTGCTTCTTGATCTTTATTTCCAGTATCTTTTGCGATTCTTAGAGCCAGCTGATAAAAGTCGATTGCTTTTTTGAATTCACTGAGATACTGATAGGCACCGCCAAGGCTGTTATATATAGTTGCCTCTTGATCTTTGTTTCCAGTATCTTTTACGATTCTTAGAGCCAGCTGATGAAACTCGATTCCTTTTTTGAATTCACTGAGAGACTCATAGGCAGTGCCAAGGTTGTTATATACAGTTGCTTCTTGATCTTTGTTTCCAGTATCTTTTGCGATTCTTAGAGCCAGCTGATAAAACGCGATTGCTTTATTGAATTCACTGAGAGACTTATAGGCGAGGCCAAGGTTGTTATATATAGTTGCTTCTTGATCTTTGTTTCCAGTATCTTTTGCGATTCTTAGAGCCAGCTGATGAAACTCGATTGCTTTTTTGAATTCACTGCGAGACTTATAGGCGAGGCCAAGGTTGTTATATATACTTCCTTCTCCATTTTTGTTTCCAGTATCTTTTGCGATTCTTAGAGCCAGCTGATAAAACGCGATTGCTTTTTTGAATTCACTGAGAGACTGATAGGCACTGCCAAGGTTGTTATATATAGTTGCTTCTCGATCTTTGTTTCCAGTATCTTTTGCGATTCTTAGAGCCAGCTGATAAAACTCGATTGCTTTTTTGAATTCACTGAGAGACATATAGGCACTGCCAAGGTTGTTATATATACTTCTTTCTCCATTTTTGTTTCCAGTATCTTTTGCGATTCTTAGAGCCAGCTGATAAAACTCGATTGCTTTTTTGAATTCACTGAGAGACTGATAGGCACTGCCAAGGTTGTTATATATAGTTGCTTCTTGATCTTTGTTTCCAGTATCTTTTTTGATTCTTAGAGCCAGCTGATGAAACTCGATTTTTTTTTTGAATTCACTGAGAGACTGATAGGCACTGCCAAGGTTGTTATATATACTTCCTTCTCCATTTTTGTTTCCAGTATCTTTTGAGATTCTTAGAGCCAGCTGAGAAAACTCGATTGCTTTTTTGAATTCACTGAGAGACTTATAGGCAGTGCCAAGGTTGGTATATATAGCAGCTTCTTGATCTTTGTTCCTAGTATCTTTTGCGATTCTTAGAGCCAGCTGATGAAACTCGATTGCTTTTTTGAATTCACTGAGAGACTGATAGGCACTGCCAAGGTTGTTATATATACTTCCTTCTCCATTTTTGTTTCCAGTATCTTTTGCGATTCTTAGAGCCAGCTGATAAAACTCGATTGCTTTTTTGAATTCACTGAGAGACTTATAGGCACTGCCAAGGTTGTTATATATAGTTGCTTCTCCATCTTTGTTTCCAGTATCTTTTGCGATTCTAAGAGCCAGCTGATAAAACTCGATTGCTGTTTGGAATTCACTGAGAGATTGATAGGTACCGCCAAGGTTGTTATATATAGCTTTTTCTTGATCTTTGTTTCCAGTATCTTTTGCGATTCTTAGAGCCAGCTGATAAAACTCGATTGCTTTTTTGAATTTACTGAGAGACTGATAGGCACCGCCAAGGTTGTTATATATACTTCCTTCTCCATCTTTGTTTCCAGTATCTTTTGCGATTTTTAGAGCCAGCTGATAAAACTCGATTGCTTTTTTGAATTCACTGAGATACTGATAGGCGCTGCCAAGGTTGTTAT